TCCTGATGTTTTATCTAAACATGACTAGTGTTGAGTATAGGAACTGGATAATCTGATTCAAGGTTATTAAATAACCTGCTAACTGAGGTATGCATATACCACGCATATTAAATGCAGATACTAAAACTTTGGAAAAAAGGAACACCATTTCTGAGCTAAACAGTATTATGCTAGGCTGATATAGAATATATAGCGGATATATACCACTCCGTACACTTTTATTATAGTGGTGTAGATACTGTACTAAGCGCCAAGCCTGATAAGATAAGTTTACCATTGGTTGAAGATTCTACCATCAACCAACGCTGAAACTTCAACCAACGTTCTGCGAATAAAGTCCAACCTGATGCGATTTATCTTCGTTGGTTTGGCCTGGCCTCGGTCGAATCGAGTCAACTGACGTAATATAAAAGAGTGTTAGTAGCGTGGATTAAGGTGTTCCGTGCGACAGCATGGCATCCACGGTTCATAATTACGGCAGTCTGCAATTATATCATCTCTATGATCATTCGCCACGAGTCTTCCTTTTCGAATCCACGGTTCGAAAAACGAGTCATCATTCCGAGCCGTGGACTAAGGGAGTTTATAGTATACTAGCATGGCTCGAGGGTTCTGGATCACCGCTAGAGTTTCCAATAACGTGGATTGTTTAAGTGATGATTTATACTTCGTACCCTTCGGTTTCTGATGGATGGGAATACTGGAGATGACGTTTACTGTTATGTTCGTGTGGAGATGACAGGATGCAGGATGCGGGGAGAAGGGGGGCTCGGCTATGTCACGGAGATGGCTGTCGTGACTTGTGTTCACCGCGGTACGAAATCAAGACTCGGACACACATGTACCCTGAGGGATGTGACTTCGCTGTCTTTCTGATTCAAGAGTTGTTGGGGTTGGGTTTTGATGGTTCAGCTTGAAGTTAAGGCGGAAATTGGTACGAGAAGATGGGTCGGTGATCATCAAATTGATAGAGAAAGTGTGGAATGGTATAGAAGATAATTGACTCGGTCGATGTTAATTATTCTGAGGGTATGTCAGTGTCTGACTCTGTACCGACCCCTTGCCAGGAAGCTTTCAGGACTCGGTACAAATCCATTGATCAACCCCATGCAACAATCACAGTAAACCGAGAACAGGGGACGGACGCGACAAAGAAATAACTTGATATAGAAATACTACCGGCGGTTCATCGCTTGACGATGACCAGAGAGGCAGAGACTGGCAGAGAGGCCCCGTCCGCAAGTGGATACTTCGGGAGACCGCCGTTAGAGCCGTTGTCTGGAGAATTGATCTGGAAGGCTCCGCCCGCACCTGGGTCTTTGATATGGGAAGTTTTCTTGTATTATTCTGAAATTTTGTTCCTTGACTAAAAGGGGTCCCGCTTACTCGAGAACTGGACGCCTTCATTGTCGTTGCTGTTCTGTCGGTGTGGTTTCCATGGGTTACGGGATGATATATATTTTCGTGCGGAGAGATTCGAGAAATGCGGAACAAGGGCGGCTGGCTACAATACACTTTGGGCGACATGCCGGCAAAAGAACCTGCATTTCTGGAATTTGGAATCCCTGTCTCGGTTTTCTCGAGGTCACATTGATGCGTACTATAATTGCAGGACAACTTGGCAAATTGACGTGACTACTAACATACTTCCAGAGGAGCTGACCTTGGCTTATGGCTTCCGAGAAGGTTGAAGTTACATTCTCTACCGTCTAATTTAGTACGTATTATTATTGTTATTTTTTTTTTTATTTTTTTTTTTTTTTAAGACCGAACAGCAAGTCATGATTTTATTATATTCGAATACATGTGAATATAGACCGCGGTTGGATTCCAAGGGTCGACTTGTATCACTCCATATTTGACAAGCGGGTGTTCCTCGGACCCGATGACCCGACAATAGGGGACGGAAAGTGGGCAGCTCTGTGGGCATTATTATTAGTCTATTATTCACCTTGGAAAAGGCAAAGAAAAAGGCGACGAGGGTGCTCCATCATGGGGCGCTACACCCAGCCCCGGGCTCAGCTCCCAGTCAGTCGTAACTCGTATCAGAGTGCATTGCTTGAGTGAATCTCGGTCGCATGTTCCAGCTCTGTGTTCATGTGGTTGTACCTGGATATTCACTGGAGCTTAAAAATAGGAGCGATATGAGTGAGACAGTCGCTTCGGCCCTTCAGAGGTGCACCGGGATCCTCGGCACGAACTCAGGCCCTTGGAAGTTGGAAGGGATGGGGGGAAGAAAAAGAAAAAGCGATCGCTCCACTTTGGGCGATGTATCAAGATCACTGGGAAAGCCGACGGATCAGCATTCGGGAGCGGCCCACACAAAGTTTGACTGAGCCTGAGCCTGAGCCTGGGCAGAAATGCTGTGGCTGGTGGCTGGATTGGGCTTAGCGCAGGGTTATCGAAGCTGTCCGCGCACCGACCACAGCGGCTGAATCATTCAGGATCTGGATGATGTGGCGATGACGGAGCACTCCCCAAACGGTTGCAGCTGAATATGACCCGAATTATCATTAGTGCGGGTTTTCCGTGGGAAAGGCAAAAAAAAAAGAAAAAAACTTTGGGTGATTATCTTCTGATCTGTGTCAGTGGCAGAGTGCAGACAGCTGCGAGACAACGCACAATGCTGAGACAGTCGGCCGAACATGCCGGGAGTATGCAGCATCGTTTGACGGATTGACATCGCTGTCCCTGCTTCCTTGCGGCACATGGCTGAAGGGGGAAACAGATCGGAGGATGGAGGGAAAAGGGAAAAAGGTTGACCGGGATTTGGGGGCCTGCAACTGTGATAGATCCGACAAATTGATCCTGAAGGGGGTCTTACTCTTGAGGGCGCCCGTGACTGCAGCGTGGACTGTGCAGAGTGCAGATTTCGACAAGGCCCGACCCCATCAGGAGTTCAGGACAGCGTGGAGTTGTGTGGAGTCGCGCAAGTGCGTGCCAAATCGACTCCATTACTACTGCAGCAGCGCAGCGCCGCTGAGTCGAAATTTGAAACTGCTCGGGTTGAGTGGAAAAGCGCCCAACTACGATTTGTCTGGGCGGGGGCTGCAATTTGCGGCAATCACAAGAAGGAATTGGCATGGATCATGGATGGGTGGGCGGGAGAAGGTGGTGGCCGTGGGAGTGGAGGGCGCCTCCATGCCTGACTCCTACGTTAGCCGGCAACTCCTAGGCTGCCGGGAGCTTACCTGCCTTTGGCTGGTTGAGCTTATGGCCATCCTCTCTGACTTGGTGTACTCCGGAGTTGCACGCCCAGTCAGGGATGTGTGTGCGGACCCACCCTCACCGTCTGGAATTATTGGCGCTGCTCCATAAATCATGCGCTAGTTAATTAAATAATTGCCTAAAATATCATGGCACGGGGAAGTGTGGGCCCTGTGGGGTCTGGGCTCTGAGGCCCACCTGCAGCCACTCGGCGAGTCACAACTGGGGGTTCGTGCTGGATGAGAGCCCCTCTCATCATCCCATTCCCTATCCCTGGCTCAGTGTCAGTGTCGCTCCGGCGCTTGCATCCTCGTAAGACACCTTGCCCTGCTTTAGACTCCACGAACGAATGCTGCTCCCTCGGCCTCAGCTTTGTTATTTGTCTGGCGTCTTTGGCCATGCCCGTATTTCTTTGGCTCTGGGCCTTTCTCTTATGCGCCACGGTGAATGGATCCTGGCCCTGTTGTCTTCGACGGGACTAGCGCCCTGCGCTACTGATCTCGATAATGCTCCCCGGAATGTTATATTTTTAATTTTTAATTTTTAATTTTATTTTTTTTTGCCCAAATTTTAATTTTAATTATTCTTGTCCCCTAATCTTGAATTTCGGTTAGTCGCCTCCATGGCTCGTCTGGTGGACCTTATAACGTATGTCCTCAGCTTCTGCCCCGCTTGCCAACATGACACACTTCACCAGGTTAGTCTCCTTCCAGCCTCTGCACATCACACTCCAACAGAGTTGTCCTTCCGCAACAGGAATGAAGGATCACCTAGAATCGTCCATGCGAGGCGGCCCCGTGCGGGCATCGATGAACATCTAGCTCGGGGAGTAAATATCGTCCACTGCATATCTATACTGCTATAAAAAAAATACAAAAAGTTGAATTATTTCCTGAATGGGCTTTGTAGTCTCGATAAGTAAACTGCCCGCTGGAGCGAAGCCGATTCTTGCTGAGTCCGGAGAATTGACGAGCTGCGGGTTCCATGACGGCTCCACCGGCTAGGCTGTTCCTGGACTCAGGCTGGCCGCTTGCGCTTCGGACAACGAGCTCCGTCCACGGGTGCTTGCTGGTGCCTCAGGCTGAGATCAGACACCACGGCTAGAGGTCCGCAACCACTAGCTTTTTCACCACGGCGCTCAAGTGTCAAGCCCCTCGACCTTTCTTCGCCCTCTTCCCGCTCTCCTTCTCTCTTCTCTTCCTTTCCTCCTTTCGGCGCTCCCTCTCGGATTCCTTTTGGATCTCTTGCCTTGTGCCTCCTCGCCATATTGTCGTATATTTCCTCGCCTTTCATCCTCCCTTCTCACTTCAATTCTTCTTCCTTCCCTTCTATACCACCCCTTGCAATTTGGCCTTTATCCATCGGCCCGGCCACCGCCCCGTATTTCGGTCTACCCGCGTCATATTTCGCCTCATCGCCTTTTAGCTTATTTTTCTTCTGCTTTCCTGGACTGCCTTGTGTTTCTATATATCTTTTTTTTTTTTTTTTTTTTTTTTTTTTTTTTTTTTAACACATTTGCTGCCTTGCTTGCCAAGAGCAAGGCCGTTGAACACATCCCAGTGACTGCCTCCTTACGTGCTCGCCCGGTTGAACGTTTGGGTATATTTTGTTTCGGAAGAACACTGCGATCCATCCAAAAGGTCATTGGGTCACCATCTTGCGCGACCATCTATACCGGGGCTGTGCGACATTCAAGTGACACGGGGATTGGTTGCATCATTGTGTCGCAAAGTTAATCGCTATCATCCGAAACAGCCTGTTTTGTGATTTCATTTCGACCCAATTTCAGCGCCATGGCTCACACTCAGCCGTCGCCTACTGGAGGCGTGACTCCTCACCATGGACACCTCGCTGCCCACCCAGTGAATGGCCACATGCCTCTGCAGTCGCCGGCGCAGAAGCCTCCCCCCAGCACCGCCCAGAAGATCGCTGCCCTGAACGAGCAGGTCTGGCTGCAAATTGGTACAGAAGCCCCTTCATCCATAACGCGCCCTTGCGCAAAAGCTGTTGTTAAGAGTATTTGCTAATGGCATTTTATTAGGAACTTTGACCGAAGTGATGGGGGATTTGGATGGTGCGATGAACGCGTATGAACAAGCTTTACGGCATAATCAATGGTCGTGCCCTGCTATGAACGCTATATCCTGCATCCTGCGAACGAGAGAGCAGTTTCCAAAGGCCATCGAATACCTCCAGAATATTTTGAAACTGGATCCCGGCAGTGGAGAAACATGGGGGAGCTTAGGTATGTTGGCAAGAGACAAACAACTATACCTGAAATTTTACTGACATGTGATTTTTAGGACATTGCTATCTTATGATGGACAACCTCCAAGAAGCATACACCTCTTACCAACAGGCGCTATATCACCTGCGCGACCCCAAGGTTGGTAGTCCTTTTTTTTATTTTTTAAATTTTTTGTGGTCGATCTTTTTAACACGTGCACAGGAGCCTAAACTGTGGTATGGAATCGGTATACTTTACGATCGCTATGGGTCGCTAGATCACGCGGAGGAAGCCTTCTCCCAGGTTATGCGAATGGCACCGGAATTCGAAAAGGCCAACGAGATTTACTTCCGGTTGGGAATAATTTACAAGCAGCAGCAAAAGTTCAACCAGAGTTTGGATGTGAGTGAGATGGCTATTGTTTCTACCAAGGGCGATTTACTGACAATTTCTAGTGCTTCAAATACATTGTGAATGATCCTCCACGCCCTCTAACTGAAGAAGACATCTGGTTCCAAATTGGACACGTTCACGAACAGCAGAAGGATGTAAGTACTGCGACGCTATTCAGAAAGATATAGGATACTGACAATACTATAGTTCGAGTCTGCGCAGCAAGCTTACAGGCGCGTCCTGGATCGTGACCCCAACCATGCAAAGGTCTTGCAGCAGCTTGGATGGTTGTATCACCAACAAAGCTCTAGTTATGACAGCCAGGAGAAGGCCATCGAGTACCTGGAGAAATCTGTCAGCGCAGACAATAGTGATGCTCAAAGCTGGTACCTTCTGGGTCGCTGCTACATGTCGCAAGCCAAATACCCCAAGGCATACGAAGCCTACCAGCAGGCAGTATATCGCGACGGTCGCAACCCGACCTTCTGGTGTTCCATCGGCGTGCTTTACTACCAAATCAACCAGTACCGTGATGCCCTGGATGCCTATTCTCGTGCCATCCGGTTGAACCCATACATCTCGGAGGTGTGGTACGACTTGGGAACTCTTTACGAGTCCTGCAACAACCAAATTGCTGATGCTCTGGATGCGTATGGCCGTGCCGCTGATTTGGATCCCTCAAATGTCCATATCAAGGCCCGCCTGCAACTTCTCCAAAGCCAACTATCGGGCTCTGGCCAAAGCAACGGCCCTGCTCCACAGCCTCAGGACGTCCACCCGCAGGCTTACCAGGCTCCTGGCGTCGGTGCTCCTCCTGCACCCCAGTGGGGCGCTCCGGCTCCGACAGGGGGACCGCCGCCGCAGCCTCCTGCTCCACCCCGTCAGATTACTGGTTGGGACCGCGGCGTCAACGAACTTCAGACTCAGGGACCGGCCCCCGGTGCGAACGGATTCGATCCCCGCGATGGACCTCGCCCTAGTGCTATTCAGCAGCCTAACCCACGTCAAGAGCCAGGAAGAGGATTGCCTGATGGTGCGCGTCCCCCGCCAGGCGTGCGGTCGCCGAAACCCGCTCTTGGTGGTCCAGGAGTCTATCCGCCGGGGCATGCTCTTCCCCAGCTCGCTAATGCTCCTCCGCCATCTCATGAGCGTGCCCCTAGCGGCGCTGGCTTCGCTGCTGCTACACGTGGAGGCTTGCCCCCTGGCGCTGCTCCAGCAGGTACCAGCGCTCCTAATGGTGGCCCTCCTTCCGCTGGCCCTATGCCTCCTTACCACCGACCTTTCACACCACCAACTGAGATTCGACCGATTCGTGAGGAGCGAGCCTCCTCGCCTGGATCTACTTACCCGCACCAAAATTATCATCACGGACCTAGCGTCGCGGTTCAGAGCGCAGGCAGCGCGGGTATTGCAGGTGGTGCACCTGCACCAGCATCTGCTATATCCGCTGCTGAAGCTGCGGCTCGTGAACGTGAAGATCGCCCTACTTCGGCTATGAAGCGTGGTCGGGAATGGGAAACTGAAGCTGGCCCAGTAAAGAAGATTGCAAGTGAAGAAAATCGATCCAGACTAGACGAGCAAATTGGTCGCCGCGTCCCTTCCCCTACCCGTTTCCCATCACCCGGCGAGATGCAACGCCGGAGCTCCTCTGAGATTCGCCGAGAAGAGCAACGCCGTGTCAATGAAAGCTACCATCCTTCCGAGGCTGCGCATCACCCCCCAACTCTCCCCTCAATTCAGCACATGCCGCAGCATGCTTCCGGTGCTAGCCTGCCCCCGATGGCTGAAAACGCTCCTGCGCCTTCCAACGGGCCTTCGAGCGGGGGCCCCAGTTCGCAAGTCCAGGTTTCAGTCCCCGTGAAGGAGGAGAATTCTCGAGCTGAACAAGCCCCGGCCCACGAGCCTGCTGCACGTAAAATGGAAGTTGATGAGGATTATGACGATGATGGTGATGACGATAAGAAGGCGAGCGTTGCGAAGGGGAGCCCCCATGGCAGCGCAACCGGCAGCGCCAATGGAAACGGCAATGGTGTTAGCGGCACTCAAACTTCTCAGTCAAAGGAGTCCGCAGCCTAAGGACTTGACGGTGAACACATTTTTGTCTAGTCATATCGATGATTGTTTTCCACAATGCCGCAATTTAAGATTTCAATGATGCCCTTGTTATGAGAACCCCCCCTGTACCTTCGTTTACACTTGTCCATTTTCTTTTTATTATATATTTTTATATTTTTTTTCGATCGGAGCCCGATGCGTAACCTATGTGTTCGGGGATATCTGTATCTGTTGTTTTTTTAGCCCTTAGGTTAGCCCTAGGTTGTATTCTACGATGGGGCGGCTGCGTCTAGCTATCAAGCAACATCCATGGATTTTTGTAGTCTTTAATATTTTTGTAACTATCTGAAACTGAGATATTCCCCCGTTTCATTCGCGAATAAGGAGTAGTTCCTGTAGCTGCTGTAGTACATGGCTTGGGCATGGCAAAATCGCCCAAGAGAAATTGATGCCTGGGGCAAAAACAATACTTTGTGAGCACGTGTTTTAATACCTCAGGCATAAATAAGTATGCGCTAGCTATAAAAAGTTAGACCGCCAAGACCTCTCGCTTAGAGACAGCCCACAACTCGTTAAGCGTTGCAAAATCGGACTTGCGGCCAAACCTGGAGATAGACACTCTCACTCACCACCGACAACTAACGACAACAGGGTCAAGATGTGAGTACCTCGATGCCGGAGTCCAACGAAACACTTGCTCAATGGACAACCACTAATATAATTTCCTTTGAACAGGAGTCACCGGAAGTACGAAGCGCCTCGGCACGGTTGGTCTACCTTTTCGACCTCGATCTTCGAGATATGGGTTTTTTGTGTGCGTGTGTAGGAATTATACTGATGAAGAACTCTTCCAGGTTCCCTTGCCTACCTGCCCCGCAAGCGCGCTGCCAGACACCGTGGAAAGGTCAAGAGGTTAGTTTTCGGAATATGAACATTTTTGTTATCGGGATTTGGAGGGACAGAATACTGAATTTTTTTTGCGACAGCTTCCCCAAGGATGACCCCAAGAAGCCCGTCCACCTGACGGCCTCCATGGGCTACAAGGCCGGTATGACCACCATTGTCCGTGATCTTGACCGTCCTGGTGCCAAGATGCACAAGAAGGAGGTTGTTGAGGCTGCCACCGTCGTTGAGACCCCTCCTGTATGTTGACCCGAATAATTTTGTATTCTTACGGTTTGTGATTGGGAACTGACTGATTTCTGCTTTTGTTTTTTTTTTAGCTCATTGCTGTTGGTGTTGTCGGTTACATCGAGACTCCCCGTGGTCTCCGCTCGCTCGCTACCGTCTGGGCTGAGCACTTGAGTGACGAGGTCAAGCGTCGCTTCTACAAGAACTGGTACAAGAGCAAGAAGAAGGCTTTCACCAAGTACGCCAAGAAGCACTCCGAGGAGAGCGGTGCTTCCATCACCCGCGACCTTGAGCGCATCAAGAAGTACTGCACTGTCGTCCGTGTGCTCGCCCACACCCAGATCCGCAAGACTCCTCTCAAGCAGAAGAAGGCCCACCTTATGGAAATCCAGGTCAACGGTGGTGCTGTTGCCGACAAGGTTGACTTCGCCCGCAACCTCTTCGAGAAGCCCATCGAGATCGACTCCATCTTCGAGAAGGACGAGATGATCGATGTCATTGCCGTCACCAAGGGTCACGGTTTCCAGGGTGTCACCAGCCGTTGGGGTACCACCAAGCTTCCTCGCAAGACTCACAAGGGTCTCCGTAAGGTTGCCTGTATCGGTGCTTGGCATCCTAACCACGTCCAGTGGACCGTTGCTCGTGCCGGTCAGATGGGTTACCACCACCGTACCTCTTGCAACCACAAGGTCTTCCGCATTGGCAAGGGCTCCGACGAGGCCAACGCCTCTACTGAGTTCGATGTCTCCAAGAAGCAGATCACTCCGTATGTACTCCCCTGGAATTCTCAAAGCAGAAAGAATATTCCCGCTAACAATTTCACAGCCTCGGTGGCTTCGTCCACTACGGTGAGGTTAAGAACGACTACGTCCTGCTCAAGGGTTCCATCCCTGGTGTTAAGAAGCGTGTCATGACCCTCCGCAAGACCCTCTACCCCCAGACCAGCCGAAGGGCCACCGAGAAGATCGACCTCAAGTGGATCGACACCTCCTCCAAGTTCGGTCACGGTGCTTTCCAGACTCCCGAGGAGAAGCGCGCTTTCCAGGGTACCCTCAAGAAGGACCTTGTTACGTCTGCTTAAGGTGTTTACGGAAATTATGGCTTGGTGTAGTACAGATTATTATGCGGTTCAATAAAAAAAGCGAATACTTCCAACATTCTGTCTTGGATGAAATTTGTAGATCCAGCTGTAGAACCGGATTACTCAGTAGACTGGTGTGTATCGCTTGGTTGTATATCACAGGTGTGGCGATCGCAGAACTGTAGATGGTCGTGTGCGCTTCAGGAGCCGGAGAGCCAAGGCGGAGCTTTTAAAATCCTGCAGATTCTGCCTGAAGAGCTCGAAAACCTCTCGAACGAGCTAGAACGCTTATTTTCTTTTTATTCTGCTGCAAGCAATCCTTAATACACTAGTACCTCCAAAGCAATATCATTCAAGCCCCCCTTATTGTCCAAAGGAAGCCCAATGCACTCCTGCAGGTGCCCGAGCACCCGCAATGTCCATTGCGTCATTGATCACCTTTCCAATCCGTCTTTCGCTTCATCTTCACATTTAAAGCTTTCTCGAGCCCAAGCACTCCGACAGCTTTCCTCTACATCCAACTATCGTTACAACGCCCCGTCGATTTTAACACCGACTTTGCGAAAGAAATCCCTCCATATCCCGTCAGCTTTTACGTCAACTGCAAGCCACTCCGGCTCACCCACATCAATTACTACCCGCACCATGTCCTCAGATGACGCCTACATGTCCTTTCTGAACAAGGCAAACGCAGATCTTGATAACGGGCGATCACAACCAGCAGCCCAACAATCCTCCGCCGCCCGTACAGAAACCGTGGACGTCAACGTCAAGGTTCCTACCCCGCTCACCTCTGTTGACGCATACTACGTCTCCGACACGGACGAGCCCTTCGAACCTGTTGCATTGAAGTGGGACGGCGCCAGGAAGGGAGCCTGGCCTGACGCTTGTATGTTGCTATCCATCTTCTTTACACTACTATAGGGAAACACCGTCATGCAATGTTTCTGCAGTTTACTGCTGACGGATGCTAACTCATTTCTCTGCTACAGCGCACTTCTCGAAACTCATTTCAACGGATACGGATCTTTCGTCGTCTATTGAGACGCTATCGGCTACGTCGTTCGATCCAAAGAACCAGTATGCCTCTGCGTTGAAGGCGGTGCGTGCCGCAGCTGCCCAGGGCTCTGGCGGGGATGAGTCTGCGGTTGAGGTGAAGGTTTATCGGGTGGAGACTGGCAAGTCGAGGGTCGAGTACTATGTTACGGCGTTGGATGCGGAGGGTGGCTTAATTGTTGGGCTGCGGGCTAAAGCTATTGAGAGTTAGAGTGTTGGAGGAGGTACATAATAATATTTTCCCTGATATGAGAAATGTGAGATGAGTTTGGTTTATATAGGGTGTCTGGCGAGTAATAACGGCCAGCTATGAAGTATTTCCGGTTATGGTTGGCCCCAAATTATCTGCCGAGGACTTCAATAGAAGTTGTCGTGGATGAGGCCTAGGCCCACGCCCATCGTTCTTTCCTCTTTGGGAGGGGCTGTGATTTTCTTTCCTAATCGGGTGTACTAGGTATCTGGGCTCTTCGTGTACATTCTTCTTCCCGGGACTTGTTGTAGCAACAAAATTCCTCGTTCATTCTTCATTCTTATGCTGATGGTTACCGAATTTACCGCTGAACCTTCGAGGCACTTGACATTTTGTTCTTGTTGAAGTCGCGAGGCTGGGTTTACCATGCATCAGTCTAGGAGCTCTGCAGCGCAGTATACATGCGCATACTATTTATTCTGCGCCACCAAACCCTGGCGAGCATAAAAGACCTCTATCCTGCAAAGAAGATGTCTAGATTCTCCGCAGCAGCTATTCAAGGGGCCAACGCGTCTTCAAGCATTCCTCGGCCTGGGCCTGCCTTGATAAGCCGCTGCGCATACAGGAGTACGTACGACGTGGACCACCCTGAGATACCACGAGCATAATCAAAATTAATTGCGCTCATTACCCAGGCTAATTATCAAAATAATCAAGGCAGTAGCCGACAAACAATCGTCGAGTCCTGCCACTCTTTTGCGGACGAAGTCCCCCTCCTCATCCCTTCCTTGACCCCATCACCTTCATTCACTTCCTCACTCATTCATTCTCTCCCTCTGTCTCTCTCTCATTCTTGTCCCTCTTTTCTGTTTATTCTTCTTCCCTAGCATGCTATTCTCCCTTTGACCCTTTCCTGTCTTTTCCTTTGGATTTGTATCAGCGCGACTTTCCATTCTTTCACTGACAAGGAGAGTATTTGCAATAAAACCCAGACACCTTGGACGGTTCTGCGCAACACCCGGCGCAGTTTTCTACTTTCCCGCTTGTTCTCGGCGACAGTGCCAGACGAACTGTCCCATCCACTCGTTATTGTTTGTTGACAACTACGGCGCCGACTATCTTGACAGACAGCATTGACTTCTTTGAATCTCGAAGCCGACAAGAAGGAACGTCAGCGCTGTCGCATCATCGAACTCTTACTGGATCAGGATTGATATACGGGAGCCACACCTATGGAATCGTAGCTGAATCAAAGAAGAGACGGAATTGGTATTATTGACACAGCACGATATACATAGGTTACGCTTCAATTGCAAATACAGCTTTCAGACAAACCTCAGACACCATGTCCGGCCCCTCTCCAGAACTCCCTCCTCGGGAGACCCCTCATATTCGCCTCAACTCCGGACAGCACGATGTGTTTTCCGACGAGGACCCTCCTTCTCCCGTCTCTTCTCCTCCGCCCCCTCCACCTCCCGAGCATGGGCGCCCATTAACACCATTGATACCGCAAGTCAGCGAGTCCCAATCGACGGGAACCCTACAGACAGTATATACAACATATCACCACGGTTCGACAGAATTCTTAATACCACCACGGCCACACCGTACTAGAGACGAGCTGGCGTCACCCAACCTCTCTGTTCTCTCTTCGCGGCGCACAAGTTGGGACTCAGAAGCCGGCAGCTATGACACAAGAGGATACAGCCAATCTCGAGTGCCGTCGCGCGCGGAAAGTGATGAGAATGATGTGAATACTCAGACGGTTACTGAGAAGTACAATATTACGCCAACAGATGGGCTGTTGCTTTTCCCGGAAGATGTTGAGAAAGACGATTATTTACACAACCCGGACCCGAGTGACAGGGAACGCGAGTGCGATATTTGGAACCGAAGGGGGTTAATCAATGTTGGAGGTTTGATCCTGCTTACTATAGGGTTCTTGGTGCTGTTTATTGGATATCCCGTGATGTAAGGTTCCAGCACCTGTTTGGCGAACCAGTGTCTATATTTAGGCGTGGACTGACTTGCTGGTATAGCACTGCTGTCAGAGGACTTGATAAGCATGAATCGCACTGTGCGGCGGGTGATACGCTATGTCTCAATGTTGGAGACCGACCTCTGCTGTCTAATATTCGCAAGGGTTTGATAGACCCTGATACACCCAAGTCAGCACATACGATGATAGCAGAGGATGGTAAAGAACTCAAGCTTGTGGTGAGTTATACTGGGATGCGACGCCGAGTACATGTGTCACTGACATGTTTGTATAGTTCTCGGACGAGTTTAATACTCCAGGACGTACATTTTATGATGGGGATGACCCCTACTACCAAGCCGTGGATCTTTGGTATGGTGTGACGCAGGATCTTGAGGTTAGTTATCTCCACGCGATAGCAGACTCGTACTAACTTCTGTAGTGGTATGATCCCGACGCCGCAATCACGAAGGATGGAATGCTAGAGCTTAAATTTGATAAGTTCCCCAATCATGATCTCAAATATCGATCAGGAATGGTGCAGAGCTGGAACAAGCTTTGCTTTAGCGGTGGTCGGCTCGAAGCGAGTATATCATTACCCGGAGACGGCGAGGTTTCTGGATTTTGGCCCGGTTTCTGGGCTATGGGGAATCTGGGACGTCCTGGATACGCTGCGAGTACGGAAGGCATGTGGCCCTATAGCTACTATGATGGATGTGACGCGGGAATCACACCGAACCAAAGTTCCCCGGACGGCCTCAGCTGGCTCCCCGGCATGCGTTTACCGGCTTGCACTTGCCCAGATGCAGACCATCCCAGTCCTGGAAAATCCCGTAGTGCCCCCGAAATCGATGTTATTGAAGCTAGCGTTGCGCCCTTGGTGGGCAACGAGGCCAAGGTGGTAGGAACCGTGTCGCAGAGTTTGCAGATGGCCCCTTTTGATATTTGGTACATGCCAGACTATGGTAAGTGCTCTAGCCAAAAAAAGTCTGTGCTTAATACTGATTTTGGCAGACTACGCCGCTGTATACAATCAGGACATCACGGCCATCAACAATTACAGAGGAGGAACATACCAACAAGCCATGTCCGGAGAGACGAATCTCAATAACAAATGGTATAATGGGAAAGAATACCAGACCTATGCGTTCGAGTACACACCTGGTGCGACTGGAAATGTCACTTGGTTCGTCGGCGAGGACAAGACATGGACGCTTGACGGACGAGCAATAGGCCCGAATGCAAACGTCGGCCAGCGAACGATTCCAATGGAGCCACTGGCCATTGTCATGAACCTGGGAATGGCATACAGTTTCGCTCCGGTAGATGACGGGATAGAAAAGCTTATGCCTGGCTACATGCGCTTCGATTACATCCGGATTTATCAAGACCCTGATGACATTAATGTCACCTGCGACCCCCCAGGCTATGAGACCACGGAGTACATCGCCAACCACCCTCTTGCGTATCAGAACTTTAACAAGACAACTTGGTAAGTGGGTCTGTATATTGATTTTTGAATAATTGCTGACTTCCTCCATCAGGGCCTCCACCGGATACGAGTGGCCGAAAAATGACTTTATGCATAAATGTTGATATTACCAGATTTGCTCACTCAACGTTACCTCTTTTATTTGACCGATATCTACGTATCTATCTACCTCACAACGGAGCGGTCCATTTGGATATGACTCACGAGGCGTTTAGCGGCATATGCTTTGGCGTTGCGGTTGTTGTATACTTTCTCCGAGCCGGTCTAGTCCAGAGGGCTGCAGCTCGCTTTGGTTTCTGATGTTAATGTTCTTGATATTGATAATAATTTCAATTGACTCGCCCGGCACATTATTTACTAATAGTGACTTTATTCAGAGTTCGTGTCTCCTAAAGCCTTCCCTCTCTCCCCTCTTTCACCTTGGCCGGCAGAAGCCTCCTCAGAATCTTGCCCGTCGGGGTCTTGGGCAGTGTCTGTAAATGAAACACGCCCCCTCTCAGCCTCTTGTACCCAGCTACTTGGGCATCGGTCCATTTCCTGATCTCGTCGAGCACGGTCTGGATTTCGCTGGAGGGCAAGCTGGTCATGTTTGGTGGTAGACTTACATACGCCAGTGGCACCTCGGTGGCCTGGCTGTCGTCGTATACAGCACACACGGCGGCGTCTGCTACGGATGGATGCTGGAGGAGTGTATCTTCGAGCTCGGACGGTGGGAGTTGAAATCTACCTATTAGCAGGTCACGCCAATTTTATTTCTTACAACATACCCTTTATACTTGATCATCTGCATAAATTCATTAGATAATACCCAGAGCTCTCAAAACATGGAAACATACCTCTTTCAACCGGTCTGTCACCCAGAAATCCCCACCGGCATCAACTCGCATGATATCGCCTGTACGGAGCCACCCGTCAGACGAGAATGTTGCAGTTGTTGCGGCTGCGTCGTTGATGTAGCCCCTGCGTATACACCATTAATACCGTTCTCTCAGTAAAGTGGCGACTGCTGTTAGGAGATGTACATCATAACCTGCGGACCACGAATCCACAACTCGCCTTCTTCTCCCGGCGCAACATCGTGGCCTGTTGATGGAGAGACGAGGCGGGCTTCGCTGTATGCTCGTCCATTAACCAGGTAGACTAGACTATGGATACTGTGGCTGAGTTGACTTACGTGCCCGCGATCAGAGTCCCGACTGTGCCGCAGCTGGAGTCTTTGTCGGTGATTTGATGCGTTACGCCGGGAGAGCATTCGGTTAGACCGTAGCCTTGTTGGTTAGCTGAGTTTTCTCTATAGGAGAATATGGGCTAGGGCGCAGGTACCTTGACAGATACTAGCTCGAGGAAAGCGGCTCTTCAACTCACGCTGTAGGGCTTCCTGGTACCATTAATATGATAAACATGATTAGATCCAATATAATGAGAGGGTCCAACGTAGGTAGGGGAGTACCTTCAACGGCGCCGCAGCAACAACAATCCTCTGCACCGACGGCACAGGATACCTCCGCGCGACATCGGAAGTCGCAAGAAGCAGCGCAACCGGAGGCACAAGATGCATATCCGTAGCCTGGATCTCGCTCGATTTGGCACAAAACAGCTCGAGATCGAATGATGGGAGGGAGAAGAATGACCCGCCCGCCCACATACCGGCGAGGACGACGGTTGCGAGGCCGTATATGTGGCAGTCTACATGATTATATAAAGTTAGCTTAGTGTTTTTTTTTTGGGTGCACCTGGGATGATTTGAGGAGCGTACACGGCGTAAACCAGACCTCCCTCACGGACGAGTTTAAACGCGTGGGCAAGGATGTGCGGAGCTGCATGATGTTCGCAACGAGGTTGTAATGCGACATCAGCACGCCCTTCATCTTGCCTGTTGTGCCGGAGGAGAAGCAGATGGTGCTGGGTGTGTCTTTGGCGCTTCTGCTGCCGAGGTCGAATGGGGGGAGTTGCTGTGGCTTCTTGCTGGTGGCTGCTGGGAGGATATCGTTGGGGAATTGGGGGATGGATGGGACGACCTTGCTGAGGACTGTGAAGACTCGAGGGCTGGGGGTTAGTTCTATAGAAGCTGCAGCGTCCTGGACATCCTGCAGTTTCGAGCTGATTGTGGCGATGTGGGTTGGTCTGATCAGGGCCAGGACGTGCTCGATGTCCTTCTTGGTGGATGAGGTGTTGAGCGGTGCGAAGATTGCGCCTAGCCACCATGTTGCGTGTGCTAGGACTACGAAGTCGTTCTTCGTATGTTAGATATTGTATTGCATCTCTCGGCCAGGATGGTTTCTCACTGAGTTGGTGACGATGGCAAGGATGGTGTCGCCCGGGTTGACGCCAAGTCCGTGCTTGAGTCCCCATGCTGCGAGGCTGGCTTTCTGGCGCAGAGAACTGTATGTTAGGGCGTCGGATGAGAAGGTATCGCGATGGACGACTTTGTCTGCTGCGACGCCGTCGGGGTTGTATCTTGTCATGAACTGGGGGATGGAGAGGGAGGCGAGGTCCCCGAAGGGAGCGATGGGGGATTGGTAGATCATTGTTGAACTCATTTACTTCGATTATCTTTCTATACAAGGGTTCTATACGGACTATATAAACCTGGCAACCCCGCTACGAGAGATGATTAACCTCGGAGCTTGCTGGATATTGTTGGCATATAATGCAGTTAGAAAGACGGCCTAATGCCACTAGTAAGATCTACCATTTCTTAGTAAGGAGACAGACAGCGGCCGGAGCTTCAATAAGATATAATCCTGCCGTAATTGGTTAGCTGGAAGAAAGAGGATGGAACCGAGGGGAACCTCGGGCTCCACAGAAAGGCTTTATAACTCTCCCTCTCTCCCTCCCAACGGACGGATGGAGGCCCGGAATACGAGTGCCGATCTTGCATAATTCGCGGTAATGCAGCTCCCTCTGGGATTGCCAGACCCGTTGTCGTTCATTATTAGCGGTTCATCCTGATGGAGCTGACGATGTCATGATGGGTCCTGGTGGGACTGAGACTGACGATCCACAGTCTGCAGATGGAGGATTCCCTGCTCAAGACGAAGCCATGCAGGCTGAGGATGCTGTCTGGATGCTCAACTCGCCTCGTTTCAAAGATCTGAGCCCCGGCATAATAATTATGAACATCCATCGACAGCTTGGGCCGGTCTGGGCGATGGCTTGATGGCTGATCCTTCAGTGTCTGTGGAGTCCCCACGGCTCCTTTAGCTTATTTCCCCGCAATTCTGCTCTCTTTTCTTCTTCCCTCGTCTCCAGTCTCGCTTTCGACTCTTCCACGCCTCCAAAATGTCGTCTCAGCCCAAAAAGGAACCCAATGCCCGCTCTAGACGCGCCGCTCGTGCCTGCGCCCGCTGCCACTCCCGCAAGGTCCGTTGCGACGGCTCCATCACCGGCTTTCCCTGCACAAACTGTCGTCTGGACGGCCGATCATGTACTCTGCACTCGGGAAAGAGGGACAAGGAGAAGCAGATGCTCAAGGCGATTGCTAGGGAACGCGGCTTGAATCACTGTCCAACCCCAAATACCGGCACCAAACTGCATCCGCAGCAGACAGGCTTGACATTTGTGAGATCTCAGACGGCCCTCAGGGTTCCTATCCAAGAGGTTCTGGATATATTCACGAAACACTATTTTCTATACGTCCATCCGTGTCTCCCAGTGGTTGACGAGGCGGTGTTCTGGAGGAAGTACCGGAGTGTCGATGCAAGTGCCGGCAAGATCTCGACTTTGCTTTTCCAGGCGATGCTTTTTGCTGCTAGTCCGGTACTACTCTTTTTCTTTCTTTTCTTTCCCCCCTTTTCAGTTACTGACGAATACAGTTTGTCCCTGTCGAAACTGTTAAAGAGTGCGGATATGACTCTTTACTCTCTGCGCGAGACGACCTCTATCGACGAGCCAAGGTATTACCTTCGAGTACGAGTAGAATAATAAGCTGACCTTGCAGCGCCTCTACGAAACCGGCGTTGAAAAAGACCGTCTGGTCACCTCCCAAGCCTGTCTGCTTTTGGCCTACTACACCACCGACGCCGAGCGCTCCCATAACTCTCGCTGGCTACGCATCGCAATCCGATACGCCAAAAAAGAACGCGCACATATATACCACCATCTACCCCAAACCGGTCTGGGGCCAGGGAGGAGGACATCTGACCTAAAACGCCTCTGGTGGTGCTGCATAATTCGAGACAGAATCATCTCGCTTGGCATGCGCCGTCCGATCCAAATCACCCCAGACCAGTTCGACTTGCACCAACTAGGGCTGTCGTTTCGCGACCTAGAAGAAGAATGTTACCATTCGGAGGTGTATACGCCCGACACGAAGATTGCTCTCTGCCGCATCCTTGCTAGCCTATGCCACCTTGTTGTCGCAGTTACCGATCTTATCATGCTCGTTTATCCAACAACGCAGGGCATGCCGTTTAGCCTAACAGATCGCCAGATACAGTTGGATAGACTCGAAGAGACCAAGTTTGCGCTGCTGGACTGGGAACTTAGCTGGGTGGCGAACCCAGATGGGAAGGAGTACTACATTCATCCGTCGTTGACCCTCTATACAAATCTTTGCGCGATATACTTCCAGTACGCTCTACTCTAATCCTCTGGCAAGAGCATGCTAATAGCTGGACATATAGATCCGCTCGCATCGCACTGTGTAACCGCATATGTCTATTAATCGGCTACAATACGTACTTATCAGACGAAACCGACCTATGTCGAATCGAGTCCTGTCGTGCTGAGCTCGCAACCGCAATCCGCTCTACTGCGGATAATGTAAAACAGCTTCTTCTCAACGGTGTCGCTGATAAATTGCCTATAAGCGCGTGCGTACCATCCTTCTACTCTCCAGCTTTCCAATCTGGAGATATGTACTGACGACCTTTGGAATTGTAGAGTAGCATATACCCTCCTCCCCCAGATCCTTCTAAGCATTCAAACCCAGCTCTCCACCACTCCTGAAGACAAGCAACTCCACGAAGTCATGCTCGTCTTCTTCACCGAGGCATTCCGCTTTCTTCGCAGCCAGTACTACATGAGTCTCATCCTTGCGGTCTCATGGAAAGCGCTGGAGCTATGTCGGCCCGCTTCTCCTGCACCGTTACAATCGTCGGATCTTAGCAACGCCAGCAACGGCAGCAGCAGCAGCAGCAGCAACAGTAACGGAAATCAACTAGTCCTGAAGCCCCCCTTTTTCACAGACCTCACCGCAAATGATCTATACTGCCACCCAAACCTTTTCCAGCTGAAACTCACCGAGTACATCCGGCTGCTGAGCTACGTCGACGAGTTCATGTCGTTGCGGAGGGCGCCGGGGTTTGGGGATCTTATTTATCCTTCTCCCGCTGTTCAATTGCAGTTGCAGATGCCGACGGATTCGTACTCACAATCGTATCCAAGGTCGTATTCGCAAAGCTCTTCGTCTACCTCGGCTTCTTCTATACGACAACGCGCTGCCATAACCGCCGCCGCCGCTACTACTGATTCACCACATGACTCCAGTACAATCTACTCTGGTGACGGGGAGACAGAGGACTCAACTAGTCCCAGGTGGACAGAGGACTACTTTTGGGTTTATTTCGGGGAGAAGGAGTTGGAGGGGGAGAGCCCACAAACTACTACTACTTCTACCACAACCACTACGGACCCCACTACTATTAGCAACGGCAGCAGTAGCAACAGAAGTAGTAGTAACAGTGACAGCAGCAGCAGTACTGCAGGCAGCAATATGCCGGGCCACGAAGAAAGATATAGCTCCGGACTTGGAGCCACAAGCGGAGGAAGCCCTCACTGTATCTCATCATCCCCGTATGATAAATCCGTTACAGGGTCCGAGCCCGCAATTTCGGTAAAAAACAAGGGGAAAGAAAAGAGCAGCGATGGTCCTAGAGCGGATACACTTCAGAATATGTTGGATTGTTTGCCCTTGCTGGGTGAGTAGCCTGGTTTTGGAAGCAGGTATTAAGTTCGTGTATACAAGTCAATGTACAAAATCAAGATACAAATGTTAAAATGTTCCTTCCCGGTGTGTCGTAATATGATATTCTACCCAGGGAAGGCACGACTACTTTAAGAGGAAATGACTCAACTAGGAAGACGCGGCTAGCACATCTCTTCGTCAGGTAGACAATTGACTAGGTCAGTATATACCAGCAGGAAAATCAACCTCCACATCGCGAATCCAATCCGCAACGCCCTTCCCGAACCCATCTAGCCTCGAAGAGCTGGAAACACCACGTCCTAGAATCCCGTAGACGACGAAATGCACGGCTCCGATGTGCGGGAACTCAACGCGCTCGATGAAATACTCGTCGCGCCAGTCTGAGCCGAGAAGGGTGCGCATGCGCGATATTGTTAGGTACTGACGGAGCCAGGATTCTTTCTCTTTGTACTCCTTTCCGTTGTCGGTTCCGGTTCCAGGATGCTGAGGGATGAAGAAGCCGATGTTTAGGTTGCCGCCTTTGTCGCCGGAGCGGGCGAGTGCGATGTCGCCGAGCTTGCCTCGTTTCGTGGGACTTGATGGGTTGTGGTTGTGGCTGTTGGACTCTGCGGCGGGAGGGTCGTAGCTCTCGCGTGGTTTGAGGGGAGCGTAGGTGCTTGGATGGCCTGTGTTGAGGGTGGTGATTGTGCTGTCGGTGTTGAGTAGGTTGATTTCCTCGTTGAGGTCCGACTGGGCGATTAGGGCTGGGTAGTATGCTAGGAATGGGCGTGGGATTGCGGTGCGCATGTCGAGGGTGTTGTGGAAGCCTATCTCCAGCTGTTAGTTTCGACTGGGGTCGAGAAGGAACAAGGGAAGAATCCCGTATATAGGGAGGAGTGTACCGGAGAAATGCTTCAAGGAGATATTCTTCAATGCTAGTCCAACAGCCCCTACGGCTTGAGGGGAGCGCGAGGCAATGAAGATGCGGAGGTATGTTGTGCTGGATGCTTGCGAGGTTGGATTCGGTGATGGAGTGCCGATTCTGAGATAAAAAGATTATCAATCTTTGCATTGCAACAAGAGAAAAGATGGGGAGATACCGTTGAAATTCAAGAGTTTCAATTTCCCTCCGTGCAGAGTCCGGAAGGAACTGATTGATCTGCTTTTCGATCAGGTCCCATTTCTTAGACGTGGCATAGCCAGTGGCATTGATCAGGATCTCGGCCTCATATCCACCTTGGTAGAAGACTGCAAGCTTAGTTGTTGGTGGTGGCGGGGAGCCTTTGATCCCGGAGACGCGGACGCTGTAAGTACATTATTAGATGGTGGCTTCGGAGAAGTAGGTACTAGGTGAGGCATACCGATCCTTTCCCACTTCCTGGACAGCTATGTCGCCGATGTAAGCATTCACATCGCTATTCAAGTATACCGTTCCCTGCAGCTCATACAGAAACTGACACCGCACTGTATCAACAGTGACCATACCCTTTGTGCCCGGGTGCTTGGTGATGATACACGTCCCATCGGCCTCGATTTCAGCGATTGGAAATCCCGGTGCAACAAGGTCATCGAGATCATATTTATCAAAACCAGAGAAGTTCCCCCCAGTCACGTAGGCTGAACATTCAATAAGGTGCCCTGCTACTAAAGCGCCAGCCAACTCGTCGTAGTCGTCCTCTGCCCAGTCATGCCAGTACCAAGCGGCCGCAATCACCGGACTGGCATCTGCTACTCGGCCACAGAGAATGATATCTGCGCCGTTTCGGAGGCCGTGAACTATCCCACGAGCTCCAAGGTACGCATGAGCGGAAACCATGGGGATGGCTTTACCGTCTGCTGTACCGCGGAGAAAGGCGTAGGTTAGCGATGCCGGGGCAGCAGACGAGTTGTCCGAGTCCAGATGTTGGAGTTCCTCTTTTGTCGTGGGCATGTTTGGGCCGACACGGTTGTATAAATCATCACCAGATAGATAACCAACGCGGAGGTTGAGCTTTTTCTCGTTTACCTGTAGAATATTAGCATTCTATCTGCTGGTGGACAGATACCAGACGGACCAATCCTTGAACTTTCAACGCAAGAGCCTTAGGGTCCAGCGCGCCTCCGTTAATGACTACTTTGATTCCCTTTTCTGCAATGACATCGATGGTCTGCTGGATGCCCTCCCAGGCTGTTTCCTCGTAGCCGGGGTGCGTTCCGGCTCGCCAGGCCTCGGCGTTGTTGGCGAGATTGACCTCTACTCTATTAGAATCTCACGGATAAAACAAGGCTTGAGTATTCATACCCGCGAGATAGTCACCGGTAATAAAATCGACGTCTCCTAGCGTTGCCTGGCGGTACATCTCGTACGCAGGATCGCCTGTGTTGTTAGCATAGTCCTATACGCAGGAAGGATAACCATACCATGGTAGCCGGAACAGTTGGCAACTCGCACTGGGCGGTTTCCCTTGTTGCTTGACATGTTGATGATTGAATTGCTGTTGTTGCTGGTGTCCTTTTACCTCGGGCGCCATTGTTCCTATATATACTTCAGTTGAGGGGTCGGGGAGATATAGCCGGCTGGCCGAATACCCTAGGCTTTTGCACGTCATAAGGTCCAATGGCAGTTGGCACCCAATAGTAATAATTTCTCTCTGCTGGTCATCTGTCTTTTATTATCATTTTGAGCCAGGAAATCCCAAAGACTCTGTAGATACAGCTCTCACGTGGGGAAGCATGTGGAGTTTCTGCCTGAGGCCGCACTGGTCTCTATCTTATTTCGAGCTTGGACACAACTTCTAACAGTTTACTAACCAGCTGTATATACTTCATTCACCATGTACAACCCAAATCCAAATCCATGGCGCTACAACCAAAGCCCGAACGAAACGAATCACCCGATTATAATCGACTCCGAGTCAGACGAGAACGACGATGAACCCCCCCAGCCGGGAATGGCAGCTTATAGCAGTATGTTTGCTCTCGACACCAACCAGCAACTTCCACTAAGTGTGTAAAGTAAACTAACCTCGAATACACTATAAAAGGACCACACCACGGACCCCGACCACCGACCATCCCACCCACATACACAACATCCCTCCCCATCGAACAAGAGAAGAAGATTCGCAGCCGGCTCCGCGAGGAGCGGCACGCCGCGCTCTGCGTCCTCATGGATCGCGAACTCCTCACCATCCAAGCATTAGCTGCGCAGGAGGTGAGATCCCTACTTACATACTAGTTCTTCCACCAGATATTAACAATAGCAACAACAACCAGACCCTCCCGCAAACCCGCCGCCGCTTCCTCTCGAACCTCCTCGCCCCCTCCGACCCGGTAACAGCGTCCTCTATCCGCGCCGACCAATTCACGATTCAGCGCTCCCTCCCCGCCCCATCGCCTTTGTCTTCCGCGAATACCGAACCGGTGGTTGTTTCGCGGGGCGTCGTCGATGTCTGCGAGAGTGATGATTCGGGGTGGTATAGGCCCGAGGCAGAGGCCGCATCGGGCCCGTCATCGTCGTCGCCGGCGTCGAGCACGAAGATGAAGGGGAGAAGCTCCTTGGGATCGGCTGGGACGCCGGAGAGGACTAAGAAAGGGAGGGTCTCGTCGGGAAGGCAGCAGCAGCAGACGAGGGAGAGAAGGAGGAGGTGGAGTGGTGCTGAGAGGCAGGATTATGGTGCCGGGGCTTCGTTTTGACGGGCTGCTTATCCTGAGCCTGCCTGGCTGGGGTTTATGCTTATGTTATGATTGACGATTGTAAGGTAATGACTGCTTATGGGTGCATTTGAACTGGGGGCGTTATTCTGATATCCTTGAATTGACTGATACTTCACGGATGCCCGGTTAGTCATGAAGGTTCGTATCATTATGGATGCATATTTATTGAATTCGAGACGTGGCTTGGACATCCAAATTGCCATTCTTAACGTTTGACTCTTACACATATCGGCCGTTTTGTTGCGAGACAATCCAAACAAAGGAATGCTATATAGTACACAAAAAAGGTATAAGAAAAAAAAAGCTAAAGGATATCAAGGAGAAGAGTAATAGGAAGGCAGAAAATGCGGCGCGGGGGTGCAGGGCAAAGTGACACTCTACCAAATATAATATGCTATCGCAGTGAACCAACGAATCCAGATGTTCCTGCAATCGTGGCCGTAGGCCAAGTGTAATTGCACACAACCAACTCTTTTGATCAAGGACTTGTATCCTCTATCCCAAAATTGACCAAATTTGCAGACGATGTGCCACCATCTCAACTAGTGGTATCGCATCACCGGTCATGAATTCGGTTTCTGTGTCCTGTATCTTGGTGGACGATTCTGGATCTTGCGCAATTTGCAAAATGCAAATGAAAATGTGTGCGCGACAAGTTTAGCGCGCTATCTTAGCTTTTCGCAATAATGTTGGCCATAGTCTCATTTTATTTTTCCGCGTTAAGCAAGCTTTCGGCATCCCCGACCTGCTTACGCTCAGAGACTTCCCTGGTGCGCATCCGTGCGCGGATAGCTCCTATATTCATGGGCGTCAATCCTTGGGATGGTGCTGGATCGGGTTCCGAATAGAAAGGATGGAGCCTGTGTGAAGTAGAAAACCGAACGCGACCATCCCTCATGACTGGTAATTGTCATTGGAGGGGCTCCGAGCTGGAAGACAACCGGTTCAGATGAAGGTATACATCCGTACCGTACCTAGGACAGTCAGTGGCAAGATCGACTTTTTTTTTTTTTTTTATTTATTCACGAGACACTTACCCTTCCATACTAATCAACTTCAGGTCGCCTCCAAAGTACCGGGCATACAAACGACTGATTGGAAGCCCGTATCCGAACCCTGCCATGGGGGCTTTGAAGTCACTCTTGTCAAAGTCGGGGTCAAGGTTGGGGGTTTGTTCCACGGTTGTATACATATAAGTCCAAACAAGAGGTATCGCAGACCGTGCGATACCGCCTCCTTCATCGGAGACCTTGATAGTAATGTCCTCTTTTCCTTCGGCGATGATGACCTTGGTGATAGGGAAGGCTTCCTTGTCTGCGCCGTGTGTTTCGACCACGGCACGGAGGGAGTTCTTCAAGGTTTCGAAAAGCATGTGGGACAGATGTCCCGGGACATACATGAAGTTTAGGTCTTCCTTGCAAACAAGCTGCACCTTGGGAGCATCAAAAAGACCATAGTAATCCTCGCAAACAAAACGAGCGTTTTCAATAGCCTCGAGAGCCACCTCACGTACATTTGTCTTGGTACAGATGATCCCGACATAGTTTGGATGGCGAACGTGTGTTTGTTCTGTCAGAGCGATATGTTGTCCAATTAACATTCGTATACCTATTCGAGACATGTAAAACCGATCGAGAAATGATTGAATTGTCGAGTCAATTTGGAGGCGCTGCCGTCTCCGCTTCCATTCGAGAATACCCTGAGCCACTGTAGTTACAACACTGTCATGTCGTCGTTTGATTTGTTGCAAAGTCTTCGCGAAACGTTCATTGTAGTCATTCAACTCGGGAGGCCAATGGCCATGATCATCGGACGGGACAAAATATCTCCTGGCGGCAGCAGTCTTGCCATTGCCGTTACCATTTGTTGTGGTGGAGGAACGGTACTGTCCCTCACGGACGCTTGGGTTTTGTGTAGTTTCCGCAAGGATCTTTGATCCACCGTTATGCGTTCTATTTGGGCGTAGCAGACGTGCCTTGACTTCTTGTGTAAGGGTTGGTCGAGGTAGAGTGATGATTTCCTTTGGAGCATTGCGTTAGTACAGTTTGGCCATCGCGTGGGTTGGGGTGAGTCATACCTCGAATGATTGCGCATACCAATCCTGGACCTTTTTAATGGAGGGCATTTCACTGAGCCCGTCGGGTAGCTCTCCAAGGTCCTGGACACGGTGGGCGAGACGGATGGGGAGTTCCTCCGATAGAAACTGAGAGGCGCGAAACAAGGTGCCTATTCGGCGGAGGACATGAGATCAGCCATTGCAAGCAACAGACCGGGAGAAAAAGAGGAATATTCTCTAGAGCACAGAATAAACTCACCGGTAGAAGGCCTGTCTCCGAATTGAACCATTTGCCGGAGCGAAACGCCAGTTGCTGGGAAGCTGGCGTAATGCCTGATGGTTTCCATCAGGCGCTCCGACGGCTTCCACATGATGTTGAAAGCGAATCAGGCCAAGCGGCCGTCACAACTTGAAATTTCCCAGTTGGATTGAACACGAATAGACGTGAATAAGAGAAATATATTAGATGGGTGGGAGAGAAGAAAAGTCCGGGGCGTGCGAGAACAGCGAGCGATATTATGACGGGCTTGGATCGTAAGGCCGGAGAGCTCTGGGAACTACTACCGAGGTTGTCGCCGAACTGAAGGAGTGGGAGCTCGAGGGTGCAGATGCAAGTAGAGTCACAACCTACGGAGGCAGAACAGAGAAGAAAGTCGAGCCGGCTTCGCAGATACAAGAGTCACACCACGGCCCAGCAGAAGATTGGCAGAACTAATAGAATTTGGTAAAGTTGGATAACAGTGACTCTTTTGGTCTTGCGGAGAGTCCTACAGAGCCCGGGGGTGTCACGTGTGGGGGGTGATCCTGACGGTCCCGTGCTTGGCTTGCCATCAGGCGATCCGACAAGCCTTGTAACTCTTGTTCGACGAAGCCCAAGACCCTGGGCTCTGGCTGATTATATTTTTCTTCAGTCCTACAGGTCTACTGTCCGCAAAAACAACATCTTATCGTGCGATCAATCTGGCAGTTGCTCCTGTGAGCTGGATTCAAATCGACCCGAGGATCTTCAACCCGCGGCTTGGGAATTGGCAGCGACACGCACCCCACCTTTTGCTCGGGCGGCCCAGGTGCGCTTTGCCTTGAATTGCCGATGAACGTGAACGTTTGCTCCGGATTCACCCCTTCGCCCGAAAATGGTTCAAAATTCTTCGCCGGCAACCTCCCATCTTCCCCCCGACCCCATACTCTCAGCTGTCCGGTCAGGTGATGCTCACGCATCTCTAATCACGAGCCAGGCAATAACAATAGTTCATCGGGGCGGGAGCTCTTGAGCGAACCCCCTAGCTTGCCATTGTAGTACGCAGTAGCCTCAATCGCTTGGCTCGGTTCCCTCGAAAGTCGAAACCCATTCTGCCGCTGATTTTGACTTGCACTCTTGTGGCTGCACATCGCCGTAGCTAGACTCGGAGCAAGGACAAGTCGCAATACCTAATGATGATTATATAGATATCACGCTGCTAGTGGAGTGTCTCCGACAACCGTCATAGACTGTCGGACCATACGCTGCTAAAAAGTCAAATATTAATAATAACACGACTACCCCGGCGCTGAGCTCAATGCCGGCTAATAATAACCCTGCAGCTAGATATGCGTAACATCGCGGTTAGAGGCCTCGTAATAATTAAGGCTATGGGTGGTTTAATAAGTAGCAACGCGGCATAAGAGACAAGGGTTTTCAATGGCACCCATCCACGTACCCTAAACCCTTTTGTATCATCATGTTACCGTCATCTTTATTATCCCCTCCCCATGCTTAGATACGGCAAAAACGCCGAAAGGAAAAAGGCTAGGTGCGGACATGGGAAGGGCTAAGAGAGCCTCTTGCGAAGGAGATGATCCGCTAACCGCAATTTAACTCGGTTTCCTTTCTGGTAGACGTGCTTCCAAAAAGCCAAATTGAGGGGAAGCTCGAAAATGCGGCCGCAGTTAATTTTCCACCTCTTCCGCCCGTGGCCTTGTGCGAGCCTACGACAACGCAGATGCAGTGGAGTCTCGTTTCTGGTTTGACATCTGTCGACCCAACCAACCAAAACAGCTTGCGACTGCGAATCCGTCGGCAGATTGTCTCACTGGCTGTCATTCCACAACAGCGGAGAGTGTCTAGACCATCTGAAATGCACGCTGCGAATTATTGCTATCCTCGGCGAACCTGTGTTTACCTTTCCCCCAAGGCGGCACCGTTTTTTGGAGCTCGCCATGAGCGGGGAGAGAGGCAGACAGTTCAACATCGGACCGGAAGATGCTCGCCCCAAACCGGTGTAAACACGATAAAGTCATTCTGGCGGAATAAACCAGGGGCTTGCATCGAGGTGGATCAAATTGTATGTTGTCAAGTTCTGGTTCCTCATGCAGCATAAGCGAATAGATTTTATTATGATGCAAGCGTGCACGCTGGAGTGTCAATCGTTTTGTACTTTGTCGCGCTGCCATTTCATCATCAGTACTTTTGCTCAGATCCAATTTATTATTTTACCGCGCCTGTAGCTAGGTTCGTCGCCAGGGTCGACACTTAGCTCACTTACTGGCGATAGACAGGAAGGATCCGCGGATTCCAGATTGCCCGTTTCGCTCTCGTGCTGTTAAAGGCGAAGGCGATAATAACCACATTCGACCAGGTCGCCGCCCCTGGCAGCTCTGTCGGCGGCATCTAGTGTGTAGCAGCGAACGATTGTTTAGACTAGAATAGGGTGATCCTCTGGACAGGGCAGGGGAGCGGTAGGGGGAAAGGCAGGAAGCTGAGCAAAGATGAATTCGAGAATTGGAGGAAGAGAAGAAGAAAAAGCGAGGGCAAGGGCCGTCATGAAAGAAGTACGAGGCGCGCCCAAAGAGGAAATACAACAGAACGCACGATAGAAGTCGGGCCCCTCTTTGGCCTCTTCGCTTCTCGCGCTGTCCCTCGTTCTTTAACAGCGACCCATCCGCTTCAACCCTTGGAGATTCCGCGTTTTTTCTGCGGCTGGTGGATCGTCTGCTCTGCTGGGCCCTAGCTAATAATTTTTCTTGTTTCTTTTTTTTCTGTCGCCTTCTCGTTTCCTTTTTCCCTTTTCCAGCCGTCTCATTTTCTCTGCCGCTAAAAAGCAGCCTATGGACAAGGGTCAAACGCCTTCGCTTCGCAGATGAGCATTCCGCTGTACTTTTTTGCTCAGCCGGTTCATGTATAAAACAGAAGATGTCACGTCGTCGTGCTTCCAACAGTGAATCGTTGGCATCACCGTCCGTGAACGAAGCCGTGGCTTATCCTTTCACCGGCATGCAACAGAGCCATACATTACCCCAGCGGCGCGGCCCGATCGAAGGGCCTGGTGGACGGAGGTTGACTCGAAGAGTCACCTGGCGGTCGTCCACCTACAAGCTCATGGCATCCCTTTGGGTGCTGGGGGTGCTCTATATGGTCTGGCTCATTCGCGACATCTTCTATTTACCCTTTTCATACTCCTCAAAAAACGCGATAAACGCGAATGCTGGGGATGAGTAAGTTCTTTTGCTTTGGTCTGGGTACATCTCACTGGATAGTGGACGATACTTATTGAATTCTGCTTACAGTCTGTTAGCTCAGTACGTGGGCCGTGAAGAATGCGGCATCTCTTCTCACGTTCTCTATCTACCTCCTAACTCCAATGGTGGTTCTGTGTTGAATGAGCCGTACTGCCAGACTCGTGCGTCGTTGCTCAGTTCAATGAGCAGTGGCGGGCGCCATGGCTTTGGCGCCCCTTATACTTCCCAAAGTAAGTGATACACCATGTGTAACAGAGCTAAAAATCTCCTATTGAACACCAATTCTTTATATTTGGTTACTAATCCAATTCAAAGGCTGTTTCTATCGTTGGTATACAAATGCTGAGATATGTGAAATACTCGAGCGTTTTGATGGTGTCCTTTTCGTTGGCGATGACACCCTAGCGAATGCCTACGCGGGCCTCAACATCCTCCTCCGCCAGGATCTAAAGCAAGGATCATTAAAGGAGTGGGAGATAAGCAGTTCCACTGACACAAACTGTCAGTGCAATTCGCAATTCACAACCCCAGCCTGCTCTTCTTCTCGAATCACTTCGAGCGAAGAACTATATGCCGAAGAAGGCAAGAAAACTCAAGCTCCCTATACTTGTTCGACCAGTAAGTTCTACCTCGCTACCTTCCACTGGAAAAGATATTTCTAGAAATGCTGACCAATTCTACAAGACACTCCCCACGCGTTTCTCTCTATTACCGGCTCACCTGCGCCGAGTACCGCACATGCCCAATTCAAGAGCCTCCTCGCTCGTTCATCTGAGAAAAAGCAGCCCATAGCCGTGATCCAGAGCCTGTCGCTCTCAACTTCATACTCGCTATCCACAGCATCAAGAAGCATGGACGAATGGCTTACCCTCGCTAAAACTAGCGCAAGGAGAACGCCATTCCTCTGGATGGGTCCCACAGCCCCCGGCCACCAAAACCAACCTGGAGGCAATATTCACGCAAGCAGTTGGCAATACACCCAAGATACTACCCAGGTAGCGCAGAGTAAAGGCGTCGACGTTCTTGGCATGTACAACGCGACATTACAGGCCGAGAGCTGGGACGGCTTGCGTTACGGCGAAGAGGTGGCCCTTATGCAGGCGATGATGGTAAGATCATATCCAACACGTTGCAGTGCATCCGCCTGCATGTATGTATGTCCGACTCGCTGACATGTCACAGATCATCAATTGGTTAGCGTCGCTTTAGGAACTCCAAATTCCTCTCCAAATGGTGTGACAGGAGTTGGCGATGTATGACGGAAAAGTTGGTATTATTTCGAGGCCAAGTAATGGCTTTAGGTTATGGATAAGGTAATGGATAAGGCATGCCGGGTTCTTTATGGGAATTTATGTTTTTATTTTTCCTCTTCCTCTTCCATTTTTTATTTATTACCTTCGCCCTTCAATTTCTTTTCCATTTCTCTAGATTTCAGGGTTCTTTCTGTATTTATTGCGGTCGTGGTTTTTATTTCTGCCTTCTCAAAACCATTTCACTTTATCAGGGACGTTGAATCCAGGTGCCCCCGATCAATCTCTTTTTCGCAAAAAAATTCGGGTTTGAAACTTATGACTCGCTCCTTGGAGGGGTTAATAATAGTAGCGTAACTGCGGGTATGGTGAGAAAGCTGTGCCCATGTACGCATGGGTGCCCTATTTCTCCCGCGGTGGGGGTGCAAATAGACATTGCTTCATAACATCAATTCGTTATCATATACATCAAAAACTCCAATCCTTCTAGCTTTTAAGTAGAGTAGCAAATAGCCGTGAATCGACCTCGCTTTTCATACATTTGCCCAAGCTTTTAGTTATAGGTACTGCATCATTGAACCAGAAAAAAGGGAGTCCAAAAGAAATCTATTCAAGCGATTATGGGTGGCTTCATGCACTCTCGCCCCCCATTGGACCATCCTTGTCTCAGATCAGCCCCAGTCCAGACCAAATCATAATAGACTTGGCTTCCAAGCGCTATCTCCGGGGCACGATTGGCTGGTTGCCTCTAAACATGGAGAGCAGAAGTTTCGGCGGTAGCGAGGTGAGATGCGTACGGCTGGAGAGCCTTCTTGACTTCGGTCGAAGTAAACTTCTCAACCTGTTGCGGGGCACGGCCCACAAAGGTGCTGGGGTCGAGAAGGGCGTCGAGCTCGCCGAGGATGGGGCCGAAGAATGCAGTGCGGCGGATGCGGTCGAGAAGGTCGTTGTTCTTGCCGTGCTTCTTGACGTTGTCGGAGGCTTGGTGCGAAAGGACGCCTGATCGCTTTTTGTTAGAACATGGTTGTGGTAATTAATAGATAATATAACGGGACGGGAGCATACGGATTTCCTCGTGAGCATCTTGGCGGGAAAGACCCTTTTTCACGCAAGCCATGATAACCTATATGCATATAATTAGTTGGTGTCTTGAACAGGACCAGGTGATATGAGGTGCTTACGTTCTCACTGGACAATAGTTGGTTAGCATGTGGGAGTTAATATAACGTATTGGGAATAGCGATGACTTACGTTGCCATGAATGGAAGTTCATCGTTTACACGACGCTTGATGACTTCAGGGTAAACAACGAACCCAGAAGTGACATTGTCTGATCATCGGTAAGTTGATAGAACTAGAAATATAACTGGCTCGTTCGTTACTTACTAAGAAGGATTAGACACGCGTCAGCGCAGAGATAGAGTTCGGGGACACTGATCCGACGGATGGCGCTGTCGTCCTGTTACAATATTAGAGGACAGCACAGACCAGAAAGGATCGAACGGGATATTTTACCAATGAACGCTCAAACCACTGTGCGGAGTAGGTGTCCAGGGCGTCCTTGGGGAGATTCTGGAGGTGCCTGCCTAGTGAGCACAGACGCTCGGACCGCATAGGGTTGCGCTTGTAAGCCTGCATGATTTGGTTAGATCGAATTGCATCTTGTTAAGTGTGAGTCGGATACCAACCATTGCACTGCTGCCAATTTGGTCCTTCTCGAAAGGCTCCTCGACTTCCTTGAGCATCGCCAAGTGGCGGATGTCAATGCCGATACGCTCGCAGGTGGATCCGAACGAGCCCAGGGCATTGGCTACATCAACATCAATCTTTCGAGAGTATGTTTGACTAGAAATGATGAATGCAGAATCGAATCCTGCTTTCTCGGTAACAAGTTCATCCAGCTTCTCGACCTTGTCGTGATCTCCGTTGAAGATCTGAAGGAAAGAGGCCTGGGTGCCGGTTGTGCCCTTGACACCACGGAAACGCAAATCATCACGCGCTCTCTCAAGGTTTCTCAGATCCATGAGCAAATCTTGGAGCCACAAGCAAGCTCGCTTTCCGACCGTGACAAGTTGTGCTGGCTGTCCGTGGGTAAATCCCAGGCAAGGTAGATCCTTGTACTGCTGGGCAAAAGCAGACAACTTGTCGATGACAATAGCCAACTTGGGAATGAGAATGTCAAGGCCATCACGCAAGAAGATCAAGTCCGCATTGTCCGTGCAGTAGCAAGATGTAGCACCCCAGTGGATGATTCCGGCAGCCGCAGGAGCGACCTGACCGTACGCGTGGACGTGAGCCATAACATCGTGTCTCCGGCGCTTCTCCTCCTCAGCGGCAACCTTGAATTCTTCGTCCTGAATCGTGGTGTTCTTTTTCATCTGCTCAATGGCCTCGTCGGTAATGGGCAATCCAAGCTCTGTACCTGTCAGTACATCGGACGTGGGGCTGGTAGGGTAGGGTAGGGTGGGAAGCACGTTTCTCGGATTCTGCAAGCCACAACCACAACTGTCTCCACGTGGAGAACCGGTTCCTTGGGGAGAATAGATACTTCATCTCATCGCCTATATGCCAGGATGGGCAGTTAGTCTCCAATCGCACAGCGTGCGCTAGGAATTGAGCAAAGGGAACCTACTCGCATATCGCGAGTTGAGAGGCGTCTGGTACACATCGTTGCTTGCGGACATGGTGTCAGACTGCAATTGGAACGGTCTCGAGGAAATTGAGAGGCTGCGGTGTGCGAAAAGGCCGGAAGATGGCTGAAAATACTGATGTGCGTCGACGGCCCCCAGACGAAATTTTGCTACGACTATTTTTCAGCGGGGTTGAATAATCTTATCAATGACAATCACGTTATCGGGACTCGTTATCATCACGTGAGCTTTATCGGGTCCACCCTCGCTCAGGGACGGCCGAAACCGGCCAACATGAAACACGGTAGTAACTATGTATGTCGCTCAAAAGCTATTATTAGACACCGATATTGAGAACCAAAAACCAATTGGAACATCCAAATCAACAACATGGACCTGCCAGTCGTCTTGAAAATCAACAAGGGACCATAGCTAGGCTACATTATTGCAGCGCAGCGAGTTGCGCAGACAGGCTTCCCTTGTCGTATTTGGTGTATTTGCCTCGACCTTTGTCGAGTTCGTGATAACGGTCATAAAACCGTGCATACAAGGGCTCAAGGACTGCCTGAACTTCGCGAGCAAGAACGCTACGCACTTCTCGCTCCATGTAGAGAGCCTTGTGGCGTGCAACCAAATCATCAAAGCTTGTATTGAACGATTTGAACTTGTCTTTGATCGCATCTTTATCGCGAGAAGAAAGCGACTTGACAATAGCACTGGAATCGACAACTCCGCCCGACTGTGGCCGAGCCCCGCCTCTACCCTGAGACGTATACTGAACATCAAGAAGGTAGTGAGACGTCTCTTTCCAAGCATCCAGATACGTCGAGGTTGCCCGTTTGCGGAAGGTATCGATCCTCGAAATACTATCTGGAGAACCGAGATATTTCGCCAGCTCCGGACTCGATCGAATAGAACGATCCACTATGCAAAAGACATTGGAAAGGAAAACGCCTTGAACAGCCTTTGCGCGGTGCAATGCCCGGCTTCGAGACTCCAAGGAAATCATAAGCGCCTCGATCATGTCTAGGATGAAGTGTGATAAGAGTGTCGAACTGTCCGGACTAACATCCAGTGGGGTGTTTGATGCTGTATTGGACGTTGACCGCCAATTCCCGTCTCCCAAGGAAGTCAAGATAGACGCAAGAGGTTTAGAATATCCGGTGAGTGTAGTGAGCGAGCTCATAACCTCAGTCACAAGAGGTACGGGGCCACCATCTGGCGGAAGCATAGGGATACTGGCTGCTTTGCGTTTCGTCTCCTCAAGCAACTCTGACAGAGACGATTTGGCGGTCTCACGGACAGGCCTCAGAGCTTCGAGAAATAGGCTCTTGAGCTCACCTGTCTTTGCATCTACATTGTAAGACATGGCCGTGACGATTTCAATGATCTCGAAAGCTAGGAAGCAATCGGTCATGAGATTGGAGCGGATGTACTGGTTGAGTTCGCGAAGGGTCTTGGAATATTCGGCCATCGCGGCGCGGCAAGTCATTTGTAGAGCCAGTCCTTTAAGGTCGCCAGTGAAAATCCGTGTGATGGCCTCCCATTCCGCGTATACGAAGTTTTCCAAGGCATTGGAGTAAATGCCAATCCCATTAGTTCCTTGCTTGTATGGACCATCGCCAGCTCTTCGTTTTAACGTATTGAGAGATGCAATGGCAAGGTTTTGCGTGCTTGTCGTAATGTAAGGCCCCCGAATATCCGCGTAGATTTTAAGGGCAGGACTGCCACCCTCACCGCGATGCGGGGTATGGGCTGCTGCTGAGCCGATGGCAGCGCAAATCGGCGCTATTTCCGCAAGCCTCTCGTCTGGGATCGTAGGAAACGGAAGATCTATTCCAAAACGAATCAGTGGCGTTGTGAGTAAAATGAGATGCAGGAACTTACCCTTGGTCAAGTAGTGTAAAGGTTCAATAGGAGTGACATGCTGACCAAGCTGCAGCCGTAGTAAATCTTGGAGTTTTGTATTCCCAATACCCAATAGGGACGTAAACTCGCTGATTGCCTTTTGATTCGATTTCAAATTTGTAGATGTCAGGTCGACCAATGCATTGTCCACTCGTTTCATTGCCGCCAGGTACTGTGACAAATCCTCGGTCTGCGGTCTATTGATTCATTTCCAGTGTTAGTGGAGAGCAACACCAGTCAATACGATTAAGCACCTACCCAGCGCGAATGATGCCCTCCTCCCGGTTCTTCGCATCGAGCGGCTGCCGAAGGCGATCAATAGCTTCATTAATCTTGTCGATATTGCTGTTTGTGATCTGAAGTGACTGTGTATTGCTATAAATAGGCCCAATTGCATGCTTCACGACATTTCCTCCGGTTTCAAGTCGGACGAGGGACCCTTGAATTTTCTTGGTCAGGAGGTTCAGCTTCTCAAGGTTGGCGTATAGCACCTCTACTTCGGCGCTCTCTTCGGCAAAAGCCGTATTCCTTGGTGCGACCATGATGTTGCAACGGTAACGAAGTATTAGGTATTCAGATAGTAAGCTGTCTGCAGGCTGTACAGATACGGCAAGTCATGTCTCGGATGGATGCGAGGGAGGGGATAAACAATTAGGAGAATAGACGGCTGACGAGGCGCCCGGCCTCAGGAAGCAGCAGCGATTCTCATATATTAATGACTAGTCAAATGAGAGATTAATCAATATAGGACACCGGCAGAGAAAGCTCATGAAAGCCCAAGCTCTGGTTGTCTCCAGCGGTTCCCTTCGATGCTCCGCCCCGGACAGCGAGCAAAATTACGCTAGTCCCATAGAGGTATGTTCGGTCCGATATATTGTTCCGCGGTATAGCCATGTGACATCATAGCACAAGCGCAAGCCTGCATTGGAGGGATCGTCGGGCCTGGCCAATCGTGCTGCAGGCACAGATCGACTAAATACGTACTTCAATCCGCCAATGCCTCCTCAATGCCTCCTTTCCAACCTCATGCCACGCGGGGTACCCTTCTCAAAATGGGTGCTGCGAGGGCATTCTGTCTCCGCTTCGCGCCTCCGGCCGCCATGATCTATGTCGGCGGCCGTGTTCTATTGTCAATTGAGACAGCTCGGAATAATTCGCAGCCATTCCTACTGCATTCCGACCCGAGAGCACCGTACTCGACCACTTCCACGCAGCTTGCCCGCGGGCAGTCGCCTAGCTCAATTGGAGATAGCGGCACTGGCCGAAGTGACCCCAGTTCCCGGAGGGAAGGAAGCTTCCATAGTGACGAATCGGACTCCTCGTCGGTATGGTCACATATCTTGCAGAGGTTTGAAGGGGTGAAACAGTCTGTCGGCTCGCCCGAATGGATTGAATTTGAGCATATCAAACACTACATAATACCCGACTGGACGAAGTTTCTCCCGGAGACAGTGCAGAAGTTGCAGCGCGAGCTTTCCATGGCGCCAGGCTCCTTAGCTGACGACATTTGGAGGGAAGCACATGATCCGGATTTGAATCCCGAGATAACTCGCGAGGCTGCAGTCCGTGTTGGCGATGGCCTCTGCGATGAAGAATTGGAGTTCAGACGGAAGCGACAAAAACATTCTGTAAAGGCGTTGGCAGCTTACCTGAATATCCCAGAAGCAGACATACACCCTGATGACGTCCCGATAATTTCCATGTGCGGATCGGGAGGTGGCTTGCGCGCGCTTGTTGCTGGTACTGGCTCATATCTGGCTACTCAAGAGGCTGGTCTGTGGGATTGCGTGACGTATACTGCTGGCGTGAGCGGCAGTTGTTGGCTACAAGTTCTGTACCATTCATCTATTTCCGGATGCAACTTCACCAAACTTGTGGCCCATTTGAAGAACAGGCTGGGCGTGCACATGGCCTTTCCGCCGGCAGCACTCAAACTGCTTACACATGCACCAACCAACAAGTACCTCCTCAGTGGCTTGGTCCAGAAACTGAAAGGCGATCCCGGTGCTGATTTTGGTTTGGTTGACATCTATGGTATGTTGCTAGCCGCCAGGTTACTTGTACCCAAGGGGGAGCTTGGGGCTTCAGACTATGACCTCAAAGTATCACATCAAAGCCATAACGTTGCCAGCGGAGCCCACCCACTCCCTATTTATACAGCCGTGCGCCATGAAATCCCAATCCTAGAGGAGAAGGCCGAGGAGGGAAAGAAGAAGCCAATGCCCGAGGATCTCATTAGACAGTCACGGAGCGAGTCATGGTTCCAATGGTTCGAGTTTACGCCGTATGAGTTTTTCTGTGAGGAGTTTAGTGCAGGTATTCCTACCTGGGCTCTGGGGAGGCATTTCAATGGCGGCAAAAACGAGGCGCCTCCCGGGACCTCGCCTATACCTGAATTACACGTTGGCAACCTGATGGGAATATGGGGCAGTGCATTCTGCGCGACACTTTCGCATTACTACAAGGAGATTCGACCACTTGTTAAAGGAATCACCGGGTTCGGAGGTATCGATTCCCTAATCCAGGGCAAGTCAGAAGACCTTGTTCGAGTACACCCCATCGACCCCGCAACGATACCGAATTTTGTACTAGGAATGAAAGATGTGCTACCACCGTCCTGTCCGGAATCGATCTTCAAGAGCCAACACTTACGGCTCATGGATGCCGGGATGAGCAACAATCTCCCGATTTACCCACTGCTCCGGCCGGGCCGCGATGTCGATATTATCATCGCCTTTGACAACTCAGCCGATATTAAGCAGGAAAATTGGTTATCTGAAGTGGACGGTTACGCACGCCAACGAGGTATCAAGGGCTGGCCAATTGGAGCCGGCTGGCCGAGAGCCAAGGACACTCCAAAGGAGACCGAACAGAACCTCCGGGAGCCACAGAATATCTCCGAAGAGGACCTCAACAAGAAAATCACTGCTGCCCAGGACTCGCCCAGTCATGAGCACCACCAGCCGGCATCTACCAACGTCCCTCCTACAGAGGGTTTGAAGGACCCAGACTCGCTGTCCCCACCACCGGACACGGATCTAGGATACTGCAACGTCTGGGTTGGCACCACGCAAGAAAAGGTCTCCGAGAAAGAACCACCACCCTCCAAGCGCCTCTTCGACGCCCGTCACTCGGATCCCAGCCACACTGAATCCGACTTTCACCTCATGCGGCCAGACGCCGGCATCGCAGTCGTCTACTTCCCTCTTCTGCCTAACCCGGCAGCCCCAGACCTCCCCTCCGCCTCGTCCCTCACAAAACCATCAAAACCCAACAACTCGCACCATGTATCAGAGACCGAAGCGCCATCATCTGAAAAAGATACGACGAAGCCGTTATCTCCGCACCCAGGTACAATCGATCCTGACGTAGACGATTTCTTGTCAACATGGAACTTTGTTTACACACCCGAGCAGATTGACGCGGTTGTGGGATTGGCCAAGGCGAACTTTGCGCAGGGCGAGGAGCAGGTGAAGCGGGTTGTGAGGGGCGTTTATGAGCGGAAGAAGAAGGATAGGTTGGCCAAGGAAGAAAGTCAGCATCGGCCCCATAAGGAGGGCTTGATGCTTAGTTGAGATTAGAGTAGAATATATCTAGTATTATTATTTTATCTACACTGGTTCCTTTGTTTGTTTGTTTTTTTTGGTGCGTACATGTGCAGAATATGTATATCAACACACTATATCTATTTTATTAACTATTATATTGAAAGTATATTGCTTCCCGGAATATATTCATGTCATGTCCAACTCTATGTCATCACGACCTGAGTAGTAATTGTACAGTATATCTATTTCGACGCCTGATCATCGCCTTCTTTCTTCCCCTTCCCAATAGGAGCATTCTCCTTCTCCTTGCCACTACCACCGCTACCCTCCTCCGCACTGCTCTCCCACTCCCTATCCTCCTTCCCACTCTCATCAGTCCCAACATCAGCCTCAGCATCACTGTCTCTCAACCTCCAGTCTGCAACCTTAGTCTCAGGGACGGGCTCTCCAGGCTGCGGCTCCATAACCACCTGGCTGGAAACCGGTCTTTTCTGGCTATCCACATCTTTAACCTCTTTTGTGCTCGGCTCCGCATACCGCCATACGACCTTCAACCGGTCAAGCGCTTTGATGCCCTTCTTTGAGGTGCCCTTGATTCCATCCATGGCATCCCAGTCGACCTCGAAGACGCCGGAATCGTACTTGTCGCCGCCTTCGAAGTAGGGGTTGAACCAGACGTGGGCGATCGATGTTACCATTGCCAGGCCTGTGTAGGCGGCGGCTTTGCTGCGGCGTTCGAAGTCGATGTTTACATCAGAAGTTGGGAGGATTAGTGGTGCGCGGGGCCGCAGGAGGACGGCACTGGTATGTTTCTGGGGCGCTTCAGCGGGCGTTGATGTCTTGGGATGGGTGACTGTATTGGATTGGTCGGTGGTGAGGTTTGGATTTGTGAGGGCCGAGGTGAGGTTGCTGGCCTTCGTCCATAGAGAAGCTTCCGATTCAGCAGCCGAGGGAGGCTCCTGGGGTGTGCTAACGGTAGAATCGGGGTTTGAAGTTGGCGCAGTCTTGATCGTGGGGTTTGGTTTGGATTTGTTGAGGTTATCGTTACTGCTGCTGTCGTTGCCCTCATTGTCGCTCCCTGCGGCGCTGTTGGACTGCGACGCAACACTATCGCCAGGCAGACTGTTGCGTTCGTTCCGATGGAAGAGGTGGAACTGTTTAATCGCCTGGCCATCTTCAATAAAACCTTCAACGGCGACTTTGACCCCGTCTCTGAGTCCCCAGACGTGAATCTCAAGTATCTCCACCGGCCGCTCGACATACTTCTTCCCCAATTCGTTCGTCCATCGGTCGACGTACCGCACCCACCGCAGCTGGCTCGGGATGCTCACACCAGAGCCAAACCCAACCCGCATCCGCCGCTCTGTGAACCGCTGTAGTGCATCCTCCATCTTCCACCCCTCTTGGCTGATCAAGTACGAGCACGCCATTGTCCCGCTGCGACCCTTGCCAGCCTTGCAGTGCACAACCACAACGCGCTGTCCCTGTTCTTCGCTATCCTTCCCTTCGTCTTTGCTTTCTTTCTGCTCCCCAGCCGGACCCGGCCCATCCAACCGCTGTAGCCAATTCCGCATACTGGCCATTACCTTGGGAATCAGCGCGAACGGCGGCGGATGGTGATCGGGAAATGGGAAATGGTGGATTCGGCCATAGACCTCGGAGTCGGGGTAGCCCGTACCCTCGGCGCGGAACTCCCAGATCCCCCACTGCGTGTCATGCTTGCTGTCGAGGAAGTCGACGAGTTGCTTCAGCGGCGTTCTGTAGGCGATCTTAGGGTAGTTTGTTGAGGGGCCGGAGGTTGCGATGACTGGTATGGGTAAAGCAGGTCAGTACAGCTGGAGTGGGTGCGTTTGGATAAGCGCAGTGGAGTTGAATGGGGTGTTTGTTGCTTATGCGGAGTAAAGCAACACCGGCAAAGGGGGTTGGATTCGGGGGCGGGCGGGGGGCAGAATCTCACTGTTATCGGAGACATAGCAAAGATCTAGACCGGCTTCTGGGTGTTGTTGTCGAGGTCCAGCTACAATCTGTCTAAGGATCGAGGCCTGAGGAGGTCAAGCGGCCAAGCGCTGCGAGTCAGTCTGGGCGTGGTCAGGATTGCAGTTAAGGACATCTTGCATACCATGAGTCGTACAGGCACCAGTCCTGCGGTTACGCGTATCGAGGTAAAGACAGAAGTGAAACAAAACAGAATAAATGTCGTTGAAGAATCTATAGAGAGCTTATTAACGGTGGGAGACTGGTCGATAGAAAGTAAACGTGCTCGACCGAGTCGAAGCTCCAAGTTTAAAGTGCAAAGTGACGCCAAGCCTCTGATGTCATCGGCCGCAGTCTTGTTTGTATAGCCTCAATTCTCCCAACAAAACGCAAGGCTACTTGTAATTACCACTCAGGCGCCCAGGTGAGGCTGAGTCAAGGTGGCAAGGCATCATTAGAATCCCAATTTTTGTCATTGCATTGGAGACATTACATTAAGCAGTAGCATCACAAAAACATATTGATACAACAAAACAATTCATAGCCTAGTAATAGTGGAGGAGCCAATAATCCTGCAATTCCTTCAGATGAGACCCATCTAGACTCCCCAGAAACATGAATACGCATACGAGTCGAGTAGTTCATTCGGCCACCCAATGCCAATCACATCTTTTCCTTCACGTTTAAGCAACTCCATAAACATCCTTCACACTGATCTTAAACTGCTTGGTCGAAGAAGTGACATTCTGCTCGCCAAATGCATAGAACGCAGCGTTGCCAGGCTTGCGCCATGTGTGCTCAACATGGAGGGTCCAGTTCTCAGACTTGGGCGTGGGGTTGATCTTCGCAAGAACGCCCTTGTCGTTGCAGGGTGCGTAGTCCTCCTGCGTGCTTGTGCCGTTGCAGGTGGCGTTGAAGCCGGGCGTGTTTTGGGACGAGAGGCCCTGGATGTTGAAGTTGTAGGCGCAGCCACCGGGCGAGCAGCCAAGCGTGAAGTTGGAGGCGTGCCATGTTAGGGCTGGGTTTGTGGGGTCGGCGGCGGCGTTGCGCATGGGGATGCGCATGGCTGTCGGGGGAACAGCGTACACTGAGGCCGAAGCGGAGGCGAAGAGGGAGAGAGCGACGGGGACGATGTTGGAGAAATGCATGGTGGTTGGTTTTGATTATTATTATTAGTGATTATTTGGGATAATTGGTTGTCTGAAGAAAGAGGTGTAGGTTGTACGAAGGTCGATGGAAAGGGATGGGTATAAGAGTCAGGAGAGTGAGCGATATTCTAAGATGGCCTCCGGTACCGACGTGAGACAACAATTGGTGATATTGCAACTATAAATGGAGCAACTGGAGTCGCCTTTGACGATCTGCTTGGCGGCGTTTGAACGGTGCAGATCCCCAGGGGAAGGCAGTCAGATTGGCTGAAGAAGTACTCTCTCAGAATTATCTGAACAATGAGGGGAACAGATGCTAGCCTGCTAACGGTGAGAGAGAGCGTTATACAGATGGGTGAGATCGTGAAGCAAGGAAAGGCATATTGAATGCTGCAGTAGTCGAGGAGTTCTGAACTGAGTTTCCTCCAATCCTTCACGCAGTTCACGGGCTGTTAGTGCGGACAATTGGTTAGACTGTTTATTCGGCGCTTCACAAGGACCTTCCATTACAATTCGAAATTCTGTCTGCTAGGAATAGGCAGCGTTGGGATTCACAAGAAGCATCCATGATCTGGCTGTCTTACTTTGCGACGCGGCTCACAGATGGTGGCTCTCTCTCAAACCGGTTTGAACGCCTCGACTCTAGGGTCCGCCCTTCCCGCAGCAGCAGTGGAGTCGCTTTGTGAAGTTCGTGCAATGTGATTCGAATGCTGATGCTTCAATTCGGCGCCCTGTCACAGCTTGTCTTGACCTGATGCGCCCACGGTCTCAGATGACGAAATCTGCTCTGACCAGTCTCGAACCATCGGTTGAGCTTATTCTCTTCCACTGCTTCATGCTGCTTGCAGTGAGACGTAATTCAATTGTTGGGGGTTTCCCTTGTCATTGCGATCAGCAATCATTCCCTGCCGGGCCGTCATCCTTCGGATGCGATTGCGTCGCCAACTCTGTACTCTGTGTACTGTCTATGCTCAGGAGATACTGGCTCAGACCTTCACGGCCCTTATATATACAAGATATTATAGTACATAAAATACATAATTCCATCTCACCCTTTCCTCATGCCCATTGCGTCCCTTAGGATCTGATTAGCCTTGCCTAATAGATCCTGTGGTATCGATAGGCCCGGCTCGTAAGCCTCAAATTCGTCCTCGTCCTCTTCTTGAGACCGTCGAATGGCTGCCATCCTTCTCTTCTTCTTGCGCCGCTGCTTGTTATACTCCCTTCTCGCTCTTTCCTCCATCGACATTGCGCCTTGTGGGCAGAGTCCTGGGTCGGCTCTCAGCTTGGCAGCAAACTCGTCGCTCGACTTCGCGCAGAGATTTAGGATATCGAGCCGCGCATTATCGCTCAAGTGGAACCCCCGTGCCCGTAAATCTTTCAAATAAAGATAGGATGACTCAAAATTCCCAGTGTCCACACACATGAGCATGAGGTGCTCAAATGTTTGCGCGTCCGGGATAACACCCAGCGTTGCCATCTCCTTTACCATGAACATGGCAGACTCGGCGTTTTTGCCCACGCGACACATGCTTATCAGAGAGTTGAATGTAGCCGTGTCAGGGTGCCGGCCGCAAAGCGTATGGAGCTCTTTGTAGAACGCAATGCCGTCGTCGACTGCGAACGGATCATCAACCGCTGCTGCTGTGCACAGATAAACGACCACCCTAGCACACGCCAAAGGAACTTTCTCTCCGTCATTCTTCAACTCCTTGAGAATGTTCCAGACATTTCGTGGGTGGGTCTTGTTTTGGACGCAATGCGCCCGAATCGCCTGAGTAGACCTTGAAACCACTTCATGGCCCGCATCCTGCATGTCGGACAATGTCTGAAACGCAGCATATAGCCCACCGGACTTAATACTCGCCTTGGACATTATTTCATAATCTCTCGCTTCATCATCAACGCTAGGGCCCAGTATATTCGTTATTGATTTCAAAAGCTCCTTGTCTCGTGTGTGAGACGCCATCTGGAGAACAAGATTGGTTAGGTAAGACCTTGGCGGAGTCCTGTCCACTTCAACAAAGCTTTTCCATAGGAAGCGGGTTAAATCACGATGGCGAGCGAATGCCGCTTCTTCAAGCACATGGTTCCAAAGTTTCTTACTTATTTGGTACCCCTGGCTCAGGCGAGACTCCATCAAGTCGATGATTTGGTCAAATTCTTTGGCGTCGCAAAGATAGTAGATAAGCATATTGTGAAGCCAAGGCTTGACCTCTATAACTTTCCTCTCCATATGCGCGATGTGGTCCATAGCCAATTCGAATTGGTGCTCCCTAATCAGACCCGCCACAACATAATGCCAACCATCCGGGCTGAGAGGGAACCATCGATCTCGTAATGTGCGCAATAAATCTGCCCTCAGAACAAAGTTTGGATGGACAGCAACGACCTTGAGGAAGAAACACGGTCAGCATAATGTTTTGGTGAGTGATTTCAAGGATCGTCATATCATAGGACATACCTGCAACGCAGCATGAAGCGTACCTGCGTCAATTGGAACACCGTTCTGTTCCATTTCCGCAAGCAACTTCTGCACCATAAAAGGTGACCCAAACCGCGGGTCGGTATGGCATTGTATAAGCGCTTTATAATGTCGGGTTTCAGGTCGAATCCCGCGGTCCCGTATTAAAACACGTAGTATTTGCGTTGCATTGATTATGTTCGGAGATTGTTCCGCCTTTTTGGCAAGTAGGTTCTCCAGACGTCCCGTTGGTGAGCTTTCGATGTTCCTTGGTGCTCTCGGTCTTTTTTTGTGCCCTAGCAAATGATCCTCGTCCCACTCTTCGCTATATTCGTTATAATCAGGTAGCTCCTCAGTTCCCTCATCCGAATAAATCTGTTCCTGTATTTTTTGGCTTTGATCGTTCAAGCATTGCGCGGTAGTAGAGCTGTAGGGTCTTCGGAGGCATCGCGATATCGCGCCGAGAGGAGTGGAGGAAGCACAGCGTCGTCGTGTCCCAGGAAGGGTAGCGATATGGCACCTAGGTGTACTCAATGCCGGACATAGATAATGCCATAATTGGTCCGGTTTGAACCGCTTGCGGGGTATCATAGCTGTTTTGTTGCGAGAGTAAATTAAGGTCCATTGCTCTCGGTTCTTCAAAAGGAAGCCGCGGATCACGTGATATAAAATGGCTTAACTACATAGAAGAGGGGAAAAAGAGAAGGGGAAAACAAAGGTAAAGCTCATGTCTAGTAGATATTAGCACTAGTTGCATAGCTGATATCGTTTTTCATTTCCATGTGGATCATAAATTGATGCTGATAGCAATAAAGGTACATGGCAAGCTCCCATCGAAAAAACAACCAGATACGCCAGGCCATGCTCATGAACCCGCCAACGAATCCTCCGCAGCTATCTCCAGGGTATCTATCATTGTCTCCGCTCTTCCATCACAACAAAAAGCCAGTCTTTATCTCTAGTTTCCACCCCGACCGCGCCCGCGCCCACGGCCGCGACCACCACGACCGCCACGATCGCCCCGTCCACCCTCGCGAGGCCCACGGTTGCGATGTTGAGGCTGGTTCTGCTGCTGTTCCTTGACCATTTCGATTATTTCTTCGGGAATCCGTAGATATTTGATCTATGACAGCTGGTTAGTTGCGGGGCGGTCATACTGTGGGAGTGTGCACAACGTACATTGTTTCCGCGGACGTAGACTTCGGGGAGTTTAAAGAAGCGGTCGCCTTCTGGGCTTGTCTGGACAACCTCTCTGAGTATTAAGTTCATCCAGTTGTCGCAATTGGCAAGGTGCCCGTTCAGGGTTTCGCCGTTTTTGAGCTCGACAAGCATAGGGTGGCCTTGCGCGGCCGTTAGCAGGCCAAGCGGAAGCTGTGCATTATAGGTTGTCAGCAAAAGTCTAATAGAAGAGGGACAAGGAGATCGGGCGCTTGAGCTTGGATAATTACCATTGTGGTTATAATTGAGCGAGTGTTGAAAGTTGCAAGGAAGGAATGGCGGGGAGTCCGAACGGTGAATATTCCGCTACGGAGTCTGCGGGTGAGGCGATAATAATGCCGAGGTGGATGGTAAATAACAATTGTGAGAATTCAAGCAGCCTCCAGCTAACTACATATCACAGCAAGGATCCGTTGACTGAGGCTGTGACATCGGCGGAATTATCGGATTATCAGATACTCCGCGCCCCGGCTGCGTACTTGGGCGAAGGAGTCAGCTCACCCATCGTCATAATCACTCGGTATTATCTGATTCCCGGTTTTCTGAAGCCATCAAATACCTCTGGTGTGATATATCTTTGTCATGATTTAAAAAGACCCGCTTCCATAGGACAGTGCTCGGTTGAATTGCATATATGTAGCTCTCCACCATACAAACCATCGTTGACCCAAGATGCGGTATACAGCGGCAGCACTGGGCTTTCTCTTGGCCGTGCCTCTGAGCTGTTTAGCTACTGGGCCAGGACAAGGCAATGAAATAGTACCACTGGGTGGAAGTTCTGTTGGAAGTCAGTTACTCTTCTGATGTCATTTCCAGATATCATTTGGTCCTAAGTTGTGTATAGCAAGCGCGTATACCGTCGTGAAGTTTGAGGCTGTCTGCTCGGAATGCACAGGCTTATCCCATTCGAGGCTGGTAAGATCCAAGCTCTGGTTAGTGTATTCTCCTTGCTAAGACGACATACCAGCCTCTTGAGCTAAAGGTCAGCAAACCTGACGTGGCCTGCGGCGGCTCAGCTATTTCTCTCAATGAACAGCCGCTGGTCCATAACCGTGATGGAGATTCTCAGCATGAATTCAGCGCGATTTCAATATTCTCTGGCGACACCACAGCTGTGTTATCTGTCAATTGGCAGAGTGGCTGCACTGGGGCATCTTGCGGAAGCACCGGGATGTGCTCGGGAATGGGCCAGTATCTCACCGTCCAGATTGAACAAATCGATGACACGGATCTTGAAACGAGCATAGATTTCGGCGTTACTCTCGCTGAGGACATGAGCCCCAAGATACACGACCTATGCAGCCATCCGTGGGAAATTACCAACTTCAACTTAATCGACTGCCCCGAGTCCCAACCAGGTTTCGTCAACAAAATAAACGATTTGATTCTAAACGCCATCACCTTTTCTTCCACCATCGACCTCTTCATATTCGGAGCAGTCGCTATCACCATCGCGAGCATAGCAATATTAACCTTCTTCATCTGCCGTAATACCATTTACTGCCGCCGACGCCGCGCCGATAGAGCCGCCAAGCGAGAAGAGAGGCGGACTCGACGTGCCTATAAATTCGCTGCCCGCCGACTACGATGGAAGAAATGGTGGGATACATTTAGGGGCACGGCACCTCTTCTCCCCTCTTCGAACAACACACACTACCATGAGTTCACAGCTCATGGGACACCACATCCGCATTTTGAGCGCCAATGCTATCGCCAGGCAGCGGAGCCCTTCGAACTGGAACTTGTCACTGAACCTGAACCTAGACAGGGCTCCATACAAGCCGAAATAAGAGGCTTTCGTCAAGCGCTCCAGTACGTTGGAGAACTAGTGCGGCATCCAGCAGATAGGAATATTGACAGGGAAAGCGGAACTAGCTACTTTAGCCCTGAAGGTTACGATGGCGCCAAAGTAGCGGATTCACACGAGAAGCAGAAAGCAGGTAGGAGTCGAGCATCTTCGTCGACAGCAGGTACTTCGACGGTTTTGTCACTTCGAACGATTAGTTTAGGTACGGAGGCGGAGACGGATATAGATCTTTCATCACATGGGACACCGCCACCTAGTTATCACGAGTAATGAATAATACTCCCTCTTGATGCGCTGTGCGTAGGCAACTGCTAGTTTAAAAAAAAAAAAGGGGGGTTACCACTCGAGTTAGATTTGAAAGTGTAGGCTTTGATATTGATACACGGCAGCTCAGGTCAGTCTCAGGAGCTTCGGAGATAACTAAGTTAAAGTATGTAAGTGCACGAATACAGAGTATGCAGTTACGCCTTCGGCCGCTTCGCAGCCACAGACTCATCCTCGTCCTCTTCCTCATCATCTTCCACAGTGAATTTTCGCTTCGCACGTTGATCTCTATTGCTTGATGCATCGGCTTCCTCCTTTTGAGCCTTCAGACGCTCCTCTCGTTCGTCAAAGAAGCCGAAAAGCTGCTCATACCCCTCCTCTACATTAGTAACTGTCTCCTCCAAGGCATGGTGGCGCTCGCTCATCTTTAGCTGAATTAGCACATCCCGAGAGCGCTTGTAGAGGCGCTGCTTCGTCAGCATGCGCCACCAGTAGTATCGCCGGTCATTTGGATCGTCGGCTCTATGCTTCTTAATGAGCAATCGTGACATATTCGCGCCACCCTTTCGGCGATTCTTAAGTGGAATTTGGCCGAGGAGGAACATTTCCTGGATGTGCGCGAATTGAGTCGGTTCGATTTTGTAGGTTGTGCGGATGCTATTGAGGGACTGGATTGGAAGAAGGGATGACGTTGGGACACGTCTGGTCTTTTTGGAGGAATCGCTCCACGGGTCGGGGTTGATGTTGATGTTGTTTTTAAGGAATTCGGGGCGGAGGATGTGGTAGTCAGCCGAGTCCCGGAGGACGTCGAAAGACTCATTTGGGTCCTCAACGGTAAGCTCCCTGATTGTTGGGTCGTTGAAGCATGCCTTGTGGATTGTGTTGTAAAGGTTAACGCCGTGCCCTGTCCCCTGGTGCGATGGGATAATCAGAAATTGGGCAATTCGCAAGCGCGATGGGAGTTCTCCTGGATGAATTGGCTCGGGTGCAGGGAACGGGTCCTCCTTGGGTGTGGGCTTTTCTGACTGGTCTTTCTGGTAGAACCACAATCGATATGTGGTTGCGTAACCCACAATGGAATATGGTGAGGCTGTCGGTGTGGGAGGCTCAACCTTTTCGTATCTAGTTTTTGTCAGTCATATATACCTTTATAGGGCCACCGCAGCATCAACGTACACAAAGTAAACCATCCATCTTTCCAACGTCCATTCAGGATCATCTGTCGTAAGAGGCAACCCACCCTCAATGTAAAATGACACCATAATCTGAAACCGGTTCAGCAACAGCTGCACTCGGGGATCCGCAAGAGATGCCGCCCAGATCTCGTAGTCCCGCCCGCGAAGGGAGTAGCTATGGACCAGCTTTCCTGGTGGCACGAAGTCTTTCGCATCTTCCTCCTGGACGGCGCTCTCGAACTCGGGTAGCGAAGAAAAGGCCTCTGAATTAGAACGCGTGTTAGGCAATCGACTAGTATAGTAACCGCCGCTTTTTTTTAAAAAAAAAGCACGTACCTTCGGGAAGAAAGTCCTTCAGCGCCTTGGTAATATCGACAGGCGCAGTATCCTCCACAGCCGAGAACTTCTCATCATAGGAGACATGGACGTGAGGGCGAAGGTTATGCGCGGCAAACCGTAAGCGGACAATTAATCCCTTGTAACCAAATATCTGCTCCTCCTCGCCAAATATTGGGTACGTGAACGCAGGATGGAAACCGGTCAGTGTCTTGGGCTTTTCCTGGTCAGGCTGGACCATGGTGATTTGGACGGCATCATTGGCGTCGCAGGACCCTAGAATGATGGATTGGAGGGTCAGCTCGAAGCACACTCATGAGATGAAGTATAAGGGTGGCATTACATTCGCTTTCCGCCGACATTTTGAATTCTCTTGGAGAGGATGGTCAAGTAGTAGGCAGAGAAAAAAGGGATGGAAGGTGTGTTTCATGAAGCCTTCCAGTTGCGACCTTTCTTTGCGCGTCTCTCAAATCGCGTTGCGCGGAGCGGGTATAACCCTTTTGGGACTAGCTCCATATATGACATCGTGTCTTGGTCGCTGTGTCCGAGCTCTCGCAGGGTGTTCATGTTGGGTTACTCGGTTTTACGATACAAGACGATGTCATGCGCTCTTCGATGAGCTCTAACTTATACGAAGTTAACATCAATATGATTGTCTAGTATGGTTCTTGCCTCGGCTCATTCAAAACCATTGGTTACTGTGGTCGGGAGGATGTCCGACTCTGCGGGGAATCGTGATATCTCTGGGTGATGTGCCCAGGCTAATCCAGCTAATACACTCACCTGAACGAAAAAGAAATAGCAAAGATCCGGGGTCTTATCTGAAAATCTATAAAAATCCTGCTAAACAGTCACAATGTCAACGACTAGCCCACAACGAATCACTCTGATCGGACTAGGAACCATCGGCATGTCCATGGCTGCCCTCCATCTTACCCGCGACAACGTGGTTGACGTCTTCGACCCAAGGCCTGATTTCGTGGATTATCTCATAAAGACGCTCCCAGGCTTTCTAGCTGGCCCTAACTCTGAGTCCACCGAGCCACAGCCAGAAAAGGTGGTGGCTGCATTAATCTCGTCTGGACGCCTCCAAATCCACTCTTCACTTGAGAGCGCATGCGCATCCGCCACCATCGTTCAGGAGCAGGGCCCGGAAAATCTGGAATTTAAAAGGTCCACTTGGAAGAAGGTCGAATCCATGGCACCCGCCTCTGCGCATTTCTGGACGAGTACCTCAGGCATTGCAGCTTCTAAACAGCAGCAAGACATGCAAGATAAGACCCGTTTGCTTGTAGTGCATCCGTTCAATCCACCGCATATCATGCCGTTGTTAGAGATTGTGCCGTCCCCCGAAACATCCCTGGAACGAGTGGAGTTTGCGCGGGAGTACTTCTCTATCCCCGGCTCCAGACATCGCCCTGTGGTTATCCGAAAAGAGATACCAGGCTTTGTGGGGAACAGACTGGCATTTGCGCTGCTTCGAGAAGCCTGTCACCTGGTACAGGAAGATGTTGTGACTACAGGAGATCTTGACACTATTCTGATGGCTAGTTTGGGCCCGAGGTGGGCGGGAAATGGTGTGTTCGAGAGCTATCAACAGGGAGGCGGGGAAGGTGGCATTCGATCGTTCCTGGATAAGCTTGGGGGTACCATGCAAAATGTTTGGGATGATCAAGGGAGAGTCAATGTGTTGGGAGAGCAAGGAACGGAGTGGAAGGAAAAGGTTATCCAACAGACAGACGAGGCCTATGGGACTCAGACACCGGAACAGACTCGCGAGAAGGAAGAACGGCTGCGCGAGTTCATCCGAATACAAACGCAGAGATTTGGAGAATGAAATTGACAATGCTCTAGCCATATATATACGTCTGCTGGATGATGCTGGTTCTAGGCATGATTGAGTGCATCTGTTATTTCATAATGCACGGCACGCAGCTGTGTTATTACGCAGTTAGTGGACTAGTAGGGTAACCCAATTGTTGGCATCATTTTGTAAATTCTCCTTGTCAGGTGGCTTTGCTCATGAACCGACGGGGGAGCAGCCTGCTACCTTGGGGCCGAGAGGACAAAGCCAGGGTGCTCCTAAAGCGGCAGCAATCCGTCCCTTGCACGACCGAGAAGGCAATGCCGTGTATGCGTTCATAGCAGATCAGCCCAGAATCGCAGATACCATGCATGCGTTGGCAACATAATTTCCGTTTTAAAAATCATTGGTTCTTTTCCTCAATTGCCCCGGGTGGATTGTCCGGCCTGGAGTTGTCCATAACCAAGGTACCGTGCAGGCGGCCGCCGCCCGTTTCCCACTGCGGATCCATCCCACGCCACGTTGCCAGCTCCGGTGACGAGCTCGTTCCTGGCCGTTTCCTGCCCTTGACGGCCATCTGAATACACCTTTCGCATTGCGCCACCGGTCCACCAATTCTAACCTCTAACCTGACTCTGGTCATTGTACTGCCCTGGAAGATTTATTGTTGGTATTTTTTTGCGTTCGAAGCCATGTTCCAAGTCCTCTAGAGAGCGAACGACTCCGGACCAGCGACCGACCATGGAGGGACTTTTCACGTTGCTCACATTGAGCACTGTGATGGCAATTACGTGAGGATTCGATGCGCGATAAGATTGCTGTGTAGCGAATACCAGCTAACAACTGTTTGTTCGGTTTCTTGCAGGTCCTTTGTCGTGGGTTCATTGCCGTTAGCATTCAAGCTCTCCCCTTCACAATTAAGATTGATATCCTCCCTTGGCATGGGAGTTCTGGTTGGGACATCCTTGATTGTCATTATACCCGAGGGAGTCGAAACCCTGTACGATTCCGTCTCGACGGAACGAAACGATTTCAGCAGTCGCACCACTACCCTTCCACACCTCCCCGAACGATCGGGCATCCCTACTATCGCAACGACATTTCCTAAAGTAGACCGAGACACAGGCCAGTGGGATGGATATGCCGAGCTTCCTGGCATTGACGTCCCTTCTGTGCATGTCCCGCGGGAGTCGCAGGTTGAGCAGGAAACGAAGAAGGATACCTCAAGCACGTCAAGTGGTAAATCGGAAGAAGACCACAGCGGAGAGAGCTCCCCCCATGCCTGGATTGGCATTGCGCTCATTAGTGGTTTTATTCTGATGTACCTCATCGACAAGATCCCCGAGTTCGCATCTACGGCCAAACCACAAAGGCCCCCCTATCATATCTCATTGGACAACTTGGGATCTGGGCTTCGTCGAAATTCATCGCCTTCGCGGGACGGGGGACTTTTGGATGCCGCAAATAGTCAACGAAGCAGCCATAGCTTTGCGACGACTACTGGTCTAGTCATTCACGCAGCCGCTGACGGGATTGCTCTCGGGGCATCGACTTCAGACACGGGCCTGAGCTTTATAATTTTCCTAGCTATCATGGTCCATAAAGCCCCCGCCTCCTTCGGGCTTACATCCATTCTCCTCAGGCAGGGGCTCTCAAGCCGTGCTGCTAGGACTCATCTATTCATATTTAGTTTGGCTGCGCCTGTTGGTGCCATGGCGACTTTCTTATTCGTACACCTGTTAGGCTCGGGATCCACTGATGAAACAGGTGCGCACTGGCGCACAGGAATTCTTCTTCTTTTCTCAGCCGGCACATTCCTGTAAGATGGCCACTCCACCACAGCATATCTCTCGAGCTAACACCACCTCTTCAAGATACGTTGCTATGCATACGATGCAAGAAAACAACTCCAGTTTGTCTCGGGAATTGCCTGTCAATGGTTATGACGCCCGAGATATGGGAGCAAAGCCAGACAAGTCAATCAGAGACCTGGTAGCCTCTGTTATTGGCATGATATTGCCCCTCTTTCTCCAAATCGGACATGCTCATTGAACTTGCTTTTTGATCCTCCCGATTTTTTTTTTTTTTTTTTCTAAGTCGCGATCCATCTATGCATTGCTGTTTTTCGAACCTCTTAGATTGCGTTAGCCTGGGTCATCTGAGATGTCTTCTGTCTGTTAACAAGAGTTTTTTGCCCTGCGTTGTTGGTATTGATAATTGCGAGATATATGTACTTTACGGCGCCATTTCGATATTTATTACTGCTGGATTGGTAAGGGCTGTAGCCATAATCACATGATTATATTTTATGAATCTACGCATGGTATCTGTCAAGCCATAATAAAGCCCTTTCCAAAGCTGCACAGCGAGGAAAGATGAAACCCGCCTGGAATTTGTAGATCATTTGCGTGCAGGTACTGAAAGCCCGGAAACGACGAAACAATGATGCCAAGATCGATGCGCCGACAGGGAGAACGGCAGACTTCCAAGTTCTGTTCGCCTACAACTGCCAGAGGAGTTCCTGGATGCTTCATGCAATGAATACTCCGTACTAGCACAACGGTGAATACAGTACCTAGCCCACTATGGTAGCTGCCGCAGCTGCAGAAGTACCAACGTCCTGACGTCCAGACTGGATCGGCCGCCCCGACTAATCACAGGCAGGATCTGGCCCACCTCCCGCCGGCTGCTGGAGCCGGTGGCAGTCCAAGTCAGGTGCGGCCATGGCCCATTGCGAGATCGAGACTCTTGAAATCCAAAGCGTTTCCGCTCCTCTCCCTCGTGGGACTAATTCACTGCACCTGGCAAGGCGATATTCCCTCTTCCTTCCTGCTCCCCCCCCTCTCCTTGTTCTGTTTAATATATTCTCTATTGTCTCCTTCTTCCTTTTTAAGCTCCTCTTTTGCCCCCTCGTCCCAGCCCTCGGTCTTTCCTGCCCCCTATTATTCTCCGACCATCCCCCCGGGCCAGCTGAACCTTCCGCCAACACTCTTTCTCACACCAACCGACCACAGGCGCCTATCTACTCTGATTTCTTCTCCTCCTTCGGCGCTTCGTTCTCTCGCTAGTTTTTATCTTTCGCTGCACATACGTTCGTTCCTAAAATCCATGAGCCGTGCCGATCTCCCAAAGAGCTGGACACTACGACATTCGCCGTGAAGCTTGCGGGGATAGTTCGGTGTATGACCCTTTCCGCTCTGTCGCGCGACCATTTATGGGCATTCGGCGGATGTCAGATCCCGCGATGATAGGCGGGATGGGCTCACAGTCGAAATCGATACCGTCCTCCGATAAACCTACCTCTCTCCCCCCTAACCTCCTCCCATCAGCGCCTGCCTCCCCTCCCACCCCGGCGCCCAGCCCGACTCCCCACCAACGACCAACCTCCTGGCGTCCTAATGATCAAGAAGAGGATACGTTGCTGTCAAATACCAAATTCTTTGAATCGCTGTCGGGACCTAGGCGGCAGCAATTTTTGGAATCTATCCTGGGCCTGTGCAACAGCCAACAGCTCAGTTTTGTGTCTAGCTATGTCGCCCCTCGCCTAAGGAAGGATCCATTTACTGTTTTTCCAACCGAGATATCCCTGAGGGTAAGTTGGACTGCTGCCCCGTATACATTAATGGTTTCCCAGGAGTTAACTTTGTGATTTCCTAACTAGGTACTTTCGTTCGTTGACGACCCGAAAACCCTGGCCAGGGCGTCACAAGTATCAAGACGATGGCATGATCTGTTGAACGACGATATTACGTGGAAAAACCTATGCGAAAGACATGCGTTTACCCATCGGCGGCCCGCTGAAGATAACCTAGACTTCATCGAGCCTATTCACAATCATCGTACACACTCCCTCAGCGGACTACAAAGGAGGTCTAATAGCGCTACGCTTCAGTCTCGTGATGGATTTGCAGACTTCCCGCGGTCACTATCTGGAGATTGGTCTGCGCCGTCGAGCGTACAAGCAAGGAAGCGACGAGTTCGGCCTCTCTCCTACAAATATCATTTCAAGCAAAAATACATGATAGAGTCTGCGTGGAGTAAAGGCGGCCGATGCACCCAGCGCCACATTTCGCCCGACCAAGGTGTGGTAACGAGTCTCCATCTAACTCCGAGATACATTGTAGCTTCGTTGGACAATGCTAAAATCCACGTGTACGACACGGACGGAGGGAATCAGAAGACACTCGAAGGACATGTGATGGGTGTGTGGGCTATGGTTCCCTGGGATGATATTTTGGTCAGCGGCGGTTGTGATCGGGAAGTGAGAGTATGGAACATGGCTACCGGGGCATCCATCTATTTGTTACGCGGCCACACTTCGACAGTTCGGTGTCTAAAAATGTCGGATAAGAACACCGCCATCTCTGGCTCGAGGGATACCACATTACGGGTGTGGGATCTAACAACGGGAACTTGCCGCTATGTTTTGGTGGGTCACCAGGCCAGCGTCAGATGCCTCGCTGTACATGGAGATATCGTCGTCTCGGGGAGCTACGATACCACAGCCCGTATCTGGAATATATCGGAGGGACGATTTCTGCGAGCACTATCAGGCCATTTCAGTCAAATTTATGCGATCGCGTTTGACGGCCGTCGAATTGCGACGGGGAGTCTCGACACTAGTGTTCGGATATGGGACCCGAATACTGGCCAGTGTCATGCTATTCTCCAGGGTCATACGTCCTTAGTAGGACAACTACAGATGAGCGGCGATACCCTGGTCACTGGTGGTTCCGACGGGTCCGTTCGCGTTTGGTCTTTGACTAGAATGGCTCCCATCCATCGCTTAGCCGCCCACGATAACAGTGTAACCAGTCTCCAGTTTGATAATAATCGGATTGTTAGTGGTGGCAGCGACGGCAGGGTCAAAGTCTGGAGTTTACAAACCGGACAGCTCCTTCGAGAGTTATCGACTCCGTCAGAAACCGTTTGGAGAGTTACTTTCGAGGAGGAAAAGGCCGTCATCATGTCTAGCAGATCAGGTCGTACAGTGATGGAGGTGAGTGATATGCGCTGCGTGTGATCTTAGTATTTCTAACATCCGTATTTAGGTCTGGAGCTTTTCGCCGCCCCCAGAAGAACTTCCACTTGATACAGCGATGGCAGGCGCTTCGTCCAGCATCTCCGAGCCGCCACCGACACATGACAATAGCTTAGCCAGAGAACTCTTGTCTCCAAATTCATCACAACGAAGCGATGGCGATCAACTGATGGTGGATGCGCCTTCTTGAATCGTGAGATGCTTGGATATCACGATTATATAGCTAGCTTCTTCTTAATTTGCGCCTTCAGCGTTATTGCTTCGGTTTCCTGCTTCTACGATATTCCCACCTCGCACCATTGGCGGCTCAGGGTAATTGGCCCGATATTCACTGGTTAGCATTTGCATTCTGGGTGTTTTAGGTTCATGCTGCAACTATGCTTTTGTCCATGGACTACGCGGAGTTAGATATATGGAGGATGCTGTCATACTTACTGGCTTATTATGTACCAGCTGGAATCTGATAGGCGAAATTCCTGTGCTTTTTAGTTTAGGATATTGCCACCTCAGGAGGTGGCTGATTTTGATAGCAAAAGTTTTCATACAACTATTTTACCACACAACAAGCTAGTGAACCCCTGCGTATGCCTACTTATGTACTTTAGTGCCTTCACTGCTCAGGAACTGTCACCCAGAAGTTGTGGACGATCCCATTCGTCAGCTGACTGCTACTAGTCGACTAACGCTTTAGCGTTTCTCCGCTCGACCTTTCGGCTCGGCCATGATCAACGGGGTGCGCACATCTGCTGCCTAGTTATATCTGGATAAAGCCCGTCAAGCGTCCCTGGAAGCTACTAGGCCGGTCGCTTTAGAAGCACACCTAAAGGCGGATCTCGTGCTAGGTATCGAGACTCACCATGTCCGATTCCCGACTAGCGAGATCTTGTATTGAATGCCGGTTTGCCGAAACTCCGGAGTCAGCCAAATCAGTTTAAACAGAGACGACAACGCTTGCGGGCAAGGCACTAATACTATCTGGAAAAGAGTCAGTGAGCCGTCACGTATCCTTCGGCTATTTTAGCAAGCGAACATGGTGTATACTGGGCGCAGCAAAGGGTGTTTTCTGTGCCGTAAGCGCAAAATCAAGGTATGACAAGATCTCCATGCATGCTTGTTTCTCTCCGATCAGGATCTATTGGTCCATGTGTCTTGCACGGAAATTTTCTAAGTGATACAAAGTGCGACGAAGCGCTTCCAGAATGCGGCAACTGTCGTGTGTACGGCAAGCCATGTCCGGGATACAGACTCGAGTCTATATTCAGAAATGAGACTTCTAAAGTCGAGCAGCTTGTCAAGAAATCAGGCGGCTCATCGCCATCTTCATCTTCACCTTCATCTTCCAGCGGCCGGCGGGGTAGTCGGCGAGAGTCTTCTCCCCGGTCATCATTGACCACTCACCGGGTCGCCGATTCCACATGGGAGGAGCGAGCGCTGTGCTTTTTCTTCGACCAGTATACTTCTGGCGAAGAACCGGACGAAGCTATGAGTTATTTGTCGTTCTTGCCGTCTTTGTACTCTGCCTGTCGAGAGAATGGGACCGATAGCCCGACTGCTTTGTGCCTGCGCAACGCTGTTGATGCGACAGCTCTCATGACACTGAGCAATCATGTCAACGCCGCCCCGCTTGTGGTGCGTGCTAGACAGCACTATGGGAATGCATTACAGGGGCTACAAGCGGCGTTATATGAGAAAAATGACGCTGTTAAGGATGAGACTTTTGCGTCCATGGTGTTGCTTGCGCTTTTTGAGGACATCACGGGCGAGCGAAATGGGCTTGCTAGTTCCCATGCAGCGGGTTTTGAGTTTCTGATGAAGCTGAGAGGGGAGAGCCAGCTCGGCCATGCGCAGGGGAGAGGTCTGTTTCATTTCGCATATACTCATACGGTAGCTCTCCCTCACCTTCCGTTGCCTATTTGGTAGCAATACTAACAAGTGGGATAGCACGTTGAGATGCTTGCACTCCGAGGAAGGCCCCATTATAACACGGATTGGATTGTCGAGCGTCTTAGCGGTGCAGACCCAATCGCCCGATTGATCCTTGCCGCATCCAAAATGAGCCAGCTGTTCCTCGCCACAACATCGCTCCAGCATCTGCTCCCTATATCTACACCACTTGATGCAGACACTGTTTCACAACTCACCTTCCTCCTCTTATTAGGCAGACAGATAGATCTCGAACTCACGTCCTGGAGCCAGGACCTCCCTGACCGCTGGCTCCCCCTCATCATTTATCGCGATAAATCCGACAATAATGACTTCTTAATCACATACCACCACCTCTCTATCGCTTCTGTTTGGACCTACTACCGAGCGGTCCGTATTGTCTCTCACGTCATAATGCTCGAGCTACGAAAGGCCCTCGCCGCTGCGACGGGCGAAGTCCCCGAAGACATGGGTGCAGGAGTACCAGCAGTCATCCAGAAAATGATCTCAGATATATGCCGCAGTATACCATTCTGCCTCGGCGACGTCGATATTATGGGTAACCGAACGACCTCCGCATCCCCCAGCGCAGAATCTAAACCCCAGCCCCGTGCGCGCGCATTCTCGGTGTACTCAATGGTCTGGCCGCTGTGGTATATTCTTTCATGCGGTCTAGCCACACCGGAACAGGAACAGCAAATACGCAACTGTTTGTCGAGGGTTGGATCCGTCCTAGGGATCAAGCTGGCGTTGGTTCTGGCGGAGGATGCATCAAGCCAGAGAAGACCACCTATTGGTATCTCTGGACCGTTGTTTGGAGCTCATTGACAATTTCAAGCCGGGCGCTCAGGTTACTTTATATTGGGCAGTTTATCACTTTGCATATCATGATTACTAGTAATTGTATAGAAGCGATTGGGAATGGGGCTTGGATGCGAGGCCGGAGTTGTGCTCTTTTAGTCGTTGTTTTTCTCTTCCGATTTCCCCTCTCAGATTCTGAGTGTATATATTTACTCATCTCATTAAATATTTAAAAAGTATATACATTTTTTCTAGATTTATTCCGACCCTGGATGTTTGTACATATGACGTCACCGACACCCCCTCTCTTTTAATCACGGCTCCAAGGTTCAAAGCACTAAGCAGTTCCGCTGCACCTCAGAAAGTGGAGGAGAGAATAATTGGCAACAATCTTAGCTTCAGATCGGAAATCGGAAATCGGCACGCGCTCTTTCGAATGCGCTAGTTAAAATCAGGGAAATAACATACCGTAGACTGGTTCATAAATTATGAACGCATGCATCGGATGGCCCGGCCCTGGACCAGACCCAGATCCAGGGTGTCAGTGCGGGCACAGCGGCAACGTACTACGTTACTGCATTGGGTGAGGAGGTGCTGCTGACGACATACCTTGTCAGTTGTGATCCACTGCTGAGAGTTCAGTTACTTATATAGCGGAGGTGTGCCCTTCCTTCGCGCGACTCGAGGTTGGAGCTTCTTATCTTTTGGAGACTGGTTATCTTGCTTGGTTTTCGATTTGAGCCTATCGCTTCCTCTACTTTACATTTGGTATACTTTCTCTTTGGTTCATTCCAATTGGTAGGAACATTAAAGCGTGATGGCAACATTACAGCAGGAAAAGAAATACCCGCTGGGGAAGATTGAGCCCAACTCGCTCAAGTACTTCGGTGCTTGTACGATGGGTGGAATTATCGGTTTGTTACTGACGTCCGTATTATTAGTGAATGATAAAGCTAACATACTTTCGTAAAGCTTGCGGTTCGTTCGAATGATGTTTTGTTAGCCTCTCCATCCATTCCAGTCTCTAATCAGCTGCATTGCAGGCCCAACTCACACCTCAGTAACACCTCTCGACCTTGTGAAATGCCGACGACAAGTTGACCCCAAAATCTACACCTCAAACATCTCCGCATGGCGCTCAATCATCTCGAAGGAAGGTCTCCGCGGGGTCTTCTTTGGTTGGTCCCCAACATTCATTGGATACTCTTTCCAGGGAGCCGGTAAATACGGTTTCTACGAATACTTCAAATACCTATACGGCGACATGTTCCCCAACACAAACCGCACGGTTGTATATCTAGGTGCAAGTGCCTCTGCCGAGTTCCTCGCGGATATGGCCCTCTGCCCATTCGAGGCAATCAAGGTGCGCATGCAGACAACATTACCGCCATACGCAAGTAGCCTGCGCGAGGGCTGGGGTAAGATCGTCGCGAAGGAGGGCATGTCGGGTCTGTATAAGGGATTGTACCCGTTGTGGGCAAGACAGATCCCGTATACGATGACGAAGTTCGCAACATTCGAGGAGACTGTTAGCATGATCTATAAGACGCTGGGAGGGCCCAAGGAGAGCTATAATAGCCTTCAGCAGACGGGTATTAGTTTTGCGGGTGGTTATATCGCTGGTATCTTTTGCGCGATTGTCAGCCACCCAGCAGACGTGTTGGTATCAAAGTTAAACGCTGATAGAAAAGGTATGCCTCTTGATCTTGTGCTAACTGACTATGCAGTTTGTGCTGACGGGAATACTTAGCGGGTGAATCGGCTGTGTCGGCCGTCTCTCGGATATATGGGAACATTGGGTTCGCAGGGTTATGGAATGGCTTGCCAGTGCGAATTCTAATGCTTGGAACGTTGACCGGTTTCCAGTGGCTGATGTGAGTCTCCCAGTGATGGTAGAAGCTAGAATGCTGACAAAAACAGTTATGACTCTTTCAAGGTTTTCCTCGGTCTTCCAACGACGGGCCACTAAGCCCGGGTGGCATTATAGATAGATCATAGTAATGAATTTCATGTTGAATCGAGAACCCAAGGCTGAGAACGCAGCGAGTAGACTGAGTGGAGATGAATGGAGACGCGAGAACAATGGAGTCGTTGACCGCCTTCGCTCTTGGCGATCGACTCGGAGCGTAGGACGAGAACTTCCTTGTTTCTAGACCGAACGAGCCCTGTGTCCGAATCACTCCTCTTCTAAATTTCATGAAATAATCAAAATATATAGAGCAGTCAATCCCCATTTCTGTCGCCCCCTGTGATCCCTGCACCTCCGACGCCCAAGCCAAGATGGAACCAAAGACATCAACATCCCAGCCATCCACGAACCCACCCAGTGTCGAAATCGCCTACAAGCGCAAATGTATCGCGCTCAAGAAGCGTCTCGGCGAAATTGAAGCTGAAAATGAATTGATGCGCACCCGCAACCGACGTGGGTGGCAATACATTCAGAAGATGCGCCTCGAGTCCTGTATCCTTCTCGAGCGCCTGGCCAACGTTACGGGAATGGCTGAAGAAGCCCAAGCCGGCGTGAACCCGGAACTGCGCGCCCGTGCTGCGGCTATGATGTCCAGCGGTGCAGGTGTAAATGGCATCTCCGCGACGAGAAACGGATCGGGACCAGGATACTATGAAGATGAGACAGAAGGGAGCTCAGACGAACAGCCACCCACAGTAAGTTCATGCGAGTAGCTTGATTCAACTTCCCTTTGGCTGATTGCCCATTTATCTAATGCAGCCACAAGAACGTCCACTCCGCGTAAAGCGATCCCGCAAGTCGAACCTGAACATCGAGGATGAAGATGTGCCTGCTACGGGTACTACTCCTGAGGCATCTGGGCCGGGGGCATCGTCAACGTGGCCTCGACTCGCGCCCGCGCCATCACAAGAGGAGATGACATCTTCATTCCGGATTCAACAGGGTAATGGGTCTGGGCCGGAGAAGGAGACTCCGCATGCGAGCGATCGGGAGGGTGAGAACAGAGATGCTTCTCCAGAGCGAGCAGAAGATCCCTCGGCGGAAAACCCGGCGACTCCAATGGACCTTGATACGAAAGAGCTAAAGGAGGAGAGCTAAGGGCGATCTCTCTGGCATCTGTTTCTGACGACTGTGTTTTATTTTCTTTGTGGGTTTCGGACGGGGTTCTTTACGGGTGCAATTTTCTACTTCGTCTACTGGGTATTTGAAAAACGTACTTAATCGCGTGGGTGTTTAAGGGGACAATATAACTTTCATAGATTTATACAAATTATCTCCATTTTGGGTAATTCAAAAAAGATACTAGGTAGTTAGCCGCGTATACTGGCTCGCCTCGCGTGGAAAAGTTAAATGGCATGCTTCCATCTCACATCTACACCTTCCCTTCATTAAATTGCAACAGTCAAAGGCCCCATCTCAGGTTGAATTGCACCATCAAATACGAGCGTGTGACATCTTTAGCGCTCTCTCATTTACAGGCCTTATGATCCTCCAGGTTCGAGATGCTAAAGTTATCAGTTGGAATATGCCCGGTCGATGAGCCGCCTTGTCAACTCGTTGGGGGGCGCGCCATTGGAGAACAGAAGACAGTGCACAGCTCGGCGCAATGAATGCCACTAAAACAAATGTCTGCCGCTTGGTCGATCGTCGTGGTTGTAATTGGTTAAACCCAAAAAGTTGGTCGCGATGGTGATATTTCTGCTAGGTGTTGTGCAATCCAACCCCCTCGCCACAAGAGCTCGAGTATAACAATCCGCTGACACCCAAGAAAAATCAGCAGAGACAAGACACTTGGCGAATGTAACACTGTCTCTTTCGCAATAAATAAATGTTATCTCTTGCTTCTTGCTTTTGCAGGTGGCCCCGTCAGGAGAGACGGGCTGGATTACGCCATAATGTAGCACGATGAGAACCCCAGCCAGTGGGGGATGGATATAAGATGAAGCCCCCGGCCAAAGATTTTGCAGCGATTTATCCACCAGCTTTTGGAGGCTAAGACTTGATCGCCGGTTCTGCTTCCAAGATGGGCTTCTTCGACTTTAAATCCAAGGCCACCGACACCCAAGTGACCCAACATGATGCGCCCTCTGAAGATACCATCGACGGCGGCAGTCTGCACTACACTGCAGATGCGGGCGGAAACACCACCGTACCGACTTATCAAGAGGCGAGCGGAGCGCCGGTTGAAGTTGTCTCGCCGCTTGGATATGAGGCAGGGTTCATTACGCTGATTTTCATGAATGTGAGCAAGATGGTAGGGACTGGAATCTTCTCTACTCGTGGGTGACTTCCAGCTATCTCTCTCTCAGTAGATCTATTGTTAATTTCTCGGTTCAGCCTCGTCTGTCTTTGAAGGAGCCGGCTCTATCGGCCTTGGTCTGTTCTACTGGGTGATAGGGTTCGCAGTCGCATCGAGCATGCTCTCCGTATACCTCGAATTCGCGTCATATTTTCCAAGTCGGTCTGGATCAGAAGCTGTGTACTTGGAACAGGCGTACCCGCGGCCCAGGTACTTCTTTCCTACGGTCTTTGCCGTGCAGACTGTGGTTTTCTCCTTCAGCAGTAGTAATGCTATCGGTATGGCAAGTTCGGACTTCTATACAATTTCACTAAACTGACATTGAACATGCTAGTCTTGGCCAATTATCTTTTCCAATTGGGAGAGTCGGAACCCACAGCCTGGCAATCTAAGGGCGTTGCTCTTGCGTCGTATACTGTGGCAGTCCTCGGTTAGTTGAGAGAACTATGCTGATATATGCCCATACTAATTATGGGGTCTCAGCCGTCTCCTTCAATACAAAATGGTCTCTGCACCTCTCCAATGCAATTGGGTGGATTAAGCTTATTACATTGATCTTGTAAGCGCTCATGTCCCATTTTCGGATCGTGTCTTCTAATCCATGCAGCATTGCAATTTCTGGACTCGTGGTGCTTGGCGGCAACGTTTCGTCTATTGATGACCCAACAGCGCATTTTCGAAACGCTTTTGAAGGGACATCGGATGCTACAGTGTATGGAGCCACCAACTCACTCATCAACGTGATGTTTTCCTATCAGGGTTATGAGAATGCCTTCAACCTAGTAAATGAGGTCAAAAACCCTATCAAGACACTCAAGTGGAGTGGTCCTGCATCACTCATTACCACGGGTATCCTCTACATGCTTGCAAATATCGCCTACGTTGCTTCTGCGAGCAAGCAGGAGATTGTCGAGTCTGACGTCAATGTTGCGAGTCTCTTCTTCCTGAAGGTCTTCGGCGGTGGTGGCGCATCTCGCGCACTTAACTTCCTGATCTGTGTCAGTGCATTTGGTAACTTGCTTGTTGTTCTCATTGGACAGTCTCGAATGCTTCGCGAGTGTGGCAGGTATGTACACCATAGAAAGTTTCCTTGGGCCATGGGCTAATTTGAACAGACAAGGAGTACTTCCATTTACGAGGTTCTGGACATCCACTCGTCCCTTCGGAACCCCGCTGGGGCCGTACTGGTTAAAGTGGGCTCTAACGGCTCTCATGATCCTGGCTCCTCCGGCCGGCGATGCCTTCAATTTTGGTACGCAGGAAGAATACATACACACCGTAGGGTCCCATCACTAATACCTTGCGCAGTCGTCGATCTAGGAGTATATCCGCAAAGCATGTTCAACTTTTTCCTTGCTGTTGGGTTGTTATTCACCCGCAGACATAGAAAGCGCCTCAATATTCCTCGAACGGAGTGGCATGCCTGGACTATTGTTGTTTACTTCGCAATCCTGGCCAACCTTTACCTGCTTGTCGCGCCGTGGTACCCGCCGTCAACTGGTGCAACCGGAGGCGACGTGAGCTTCTGGTATGGAACATATGTCGTCGTTGGGATCTCACTGTACGTGGCTTTTCGATTTCTTTCTTTCTTTCGCGTGGCATAGGGCTAACCTTATTTACCAGAATTGGCTTTTGCGGTTTGTATTACTTTGTATATATGAAGGTTCTACCGCACTTTGGTGGCTATGAGTTCCGTCAGACGATCATTTCAGGACCTTCAGGAGAGGCATCTCATAAAATGGTTAAAGTGCCTAATGATGAGCTTGCAAAATGGGATGAGGAGCATGATGCTGCTGGACGGCTTCGTCGACGGGCGAATGCTAGTAAATCTGACCAGGCTGGAGATGCTTGAACTCGCTTTCTGAGTATATTAGAGCATTGAGAAGCTGCAGTATAGTCAATATTTTGATAATCATATATAAATGCAATGCCGTACATAACATATATACTTAAAGTTGCGAGAATCCTAAGATATATATAATCAGCAAATATAAACCGCACGAGTATTTTATTTTGAAGTATAAGCTGCAAGTACATTCGCATACTATACCACGGTTATAATTTCTTTTCAAGCCATCGACCCTGGATGCGCCGATAGCTCCGTTATCTCCGGCCTTCAGTTGTATCTCAGCTCTCCAAGACTTGAAGCTACTTCCTTCATTTTACAACCTCCTGTGCGACAAAAAACCACATAAATAACCATGGCATTCGAGTTTATCGACAATAGCGTCGCGATCGACCGCGTAGCGAGGCGACGCATTCGCACCCACGCAGCGAGAGGCAAGAACGCCAACAGAACTCTAGCACGCTCCTCTAAGGCCGTTGTTCTTAAGAAAGACAATTCTGTGACTCCGTTTCGTGCACCTGCGAGCATTCGAAAAGCCCATCGATCGACAAGCGACAGGGTTAGTGATGCGGAGGTGGTTGAAATTGAGAGACCGGTTAGTGATGGAGTATTGTTCCCTATACCGGTACCTGCGAGGTCGAGGGGATTGGTTCGAGAGGGTGTGTACCTTTCCCATACAATATTGGCGCACTGTAGGGAGAACAAAAAAGCTGACGCGGTTTATTTCACCGAAGCTCTGTTCTTCTTCAGCAGCGCTCGATATAACCCTGAACTTGATGGCGCGTTAGAAATGCCAGACCATATGGGGTCCGTCTGGGTGCGATATTTCTTTCTCGACGAGGCTTGTGCGTTACCCCTATTCAAATATAAGCATGTTATTTTGAGATAGGACTCTTACTCATGTGGTGAACGAGGTAGACTTCCACTGTTCCGTGGCAACAACGATCCTCTGCTCCAAGAACCTCGTCAATGAGACCACGCAAGGCATGTACCATATTGCGCGCACCTATCGAATTATCCAGGAGCGGTTGATGAACGCTACAGATGCGACGTCGGATATTACTATTGCGATACTCGTGGTTATGTCACAGTACGAACGGTTGCAAGGCCAGTATGAGCGGGGCTATGTTCATATTCAGGGCTTGCGCCGGATGATTGAATTGCGTGGCGGTGTTAAGCGGTTTGGTGGTGAGTGCTGTGGTGTTATCCTAAAGGTTCTGAGGTGAGTCGATGTGCCATTTCTGTGGTTAAGATTAATTATTGGGCTGTCTTTCATTGAGTTAGGGCTGACGCTATTAATGTAGGGCTGATTTGGAGTACGCTTTGCAACTTGGCTCAAGGACGTTATTTGGCTTTGACGGCGTCGAGTATCTTCGTACTCTAAGATCCGTCCATTCTGATGATGAGACGAGGCCAAATAGCCAACTCGACAATTTGGAGACTGATGGACTCCTGCAAGACCTCCTGCGAGAAGATCTATGGACAACATCTAAGTGCATAAAAAGCGTCGCCGTAAAGCTCAACGAAGCTGGTGCTGGACAAAGACAAAAACTAGGTGCCGACGAATTTCATCATACTATTTTATTCCTAGGATATTCCCTTCTGCAAATAAGCCCGCTCAGCGATTCTGAATCTGATTCGACTCCCGCGCCGAACATGAGTATCCTTGAGAAAGCCATCTACCTTGGACTTATTGCGTTCTTGGTGTCGTTTCTAAGGGGATTGGATCAGCGTATATCAGAAAACCCTCTATTGTCTCAACGGCTTCGTCTCACTATCAAGGATCTATCGCTATCTGTCGAAACAGGTCAGGGGAGCAAGGTTGATAAATGCGTGCTTCTCTGGACGCTCTTTATCGGGTCGGTTGCTATATTCAAACCTTCAGATGATGAGTGGCTCGTACCTACAACCCGCACTGCCATGCAAACACTGGATCTTTCTACCTGGGAAGATGTCAGGCGGATACTAGCTACATTCCCTTGGGTTAATGCACTGCACGACCGAGCAGGCATAGTGCTGTGTTCTACACAAAAGTTTCTCGAAATCCCGTATCAATCAATTTGAGTTCTCAAAGCTAACATATCAAACAACTAATTCGCCATGTGAAACTTATTTCCCGAATGCCTTTTCCACTGCACCGGGTGCGGTGGCATCGATTTCCTTAACAATGAGGTCCCACAGGTTCTTCTGCCACTTCTGCGCCTCCTCGTCCTTCGCCCAATCAGGAACTTTGTCACTGCACACCTCTGTTAGTGTGTATTAACAATTATTGGCATCCCGGGCAACTTACTTTCTGAGTTCACAACTGGAAGTGTAGCCTCCATGACTGTCCTTTCCTAAGTTAGCGCCGGCGAGAAGAGTGCGGCTTCCGTCTTCTGCAGTCCGACCAAACTGTGTATGTAGGTTGATGATTGATTCCTTCTGGGGAGGTGGAGCATTGCGGACAAGCTCGGTCTTGCAAAGGCCAGGACAAACAGCATTGATGACTACCTTTCCTTGGTCTAGAGGGAGCTGCGCTGCTAGCTCACGAACGGCGAAAGTATCCATAAGCTTGGACAGGGGGTACCTATTCACAGAAACGTAGTTAGTCATAAGTGAAACCAAGAGAAGCCATACGAAGGGAACATACGTGGCCATCAATTGCTCAGCAGGGAGCCCAGACGCTCTCACAAACGGGTCCTCTTTCACCATTTCCCAGACCTGACGCACATCGAACCCGACACCCGATGTCACAATCGACAGACGCGGCAGGGTCCCATATTTCTCCGCAGACTCTTTCAGCTTAGGCAATAGCAACACAGCCAACAGAAAGGTACTCAACACATTAACTGTGAGACCAATATGATATCCTTCCGCGGTCTTCTGTTCACCTGTAGCAACAGCCGCATTCTCAATCACAGCATCAATGCGGTCAAGCTCGGTAGTGGCACGCTTAGCAAAGTCCTTGACGGACTCATAGCTGCTCAGGTCGAGAGCCCAGACCTCCGCAACAGTGGCTTTGCCAGTAGCCTCGTCGATTTTCTTCTTGGCAGCTTCGCCGGAGGGGACGCTGCGTACGGCGAGGATGACCTTCTTTGCGCCGAGATTGACAAGGTGTTTAGAGGCTTCGAATCCGAGACCGGTGTTGGCACCTGTGACGATGTATGTTTTCCCTGCAGTGTTCTTCTCTGTTGCGAGTAGGGGGAGGTTATGAGGCTGGGTTGCGACTTCGTCAGACATTTTTGATTTGCTTGCTAGCAGTAGCTGATGCGGAGAGTAGAAGAGAATGCAATGAAGCGGGACGATAAATTTGAGTGAAGTCGAGGTCGTGTTGAGTTTCTGACTTTGGAATACACTTTAAGGCAGAGAACAAAGAAACCTACCGGATACCAATGAAGCAAGCAACCAAAGCTCATATTTATAATTCCATCTCCTCACCAGCAGCCACGCAACTCAAATCGGCGTTTACGGACTCTAAATAGCCAATCTCCAACGCCCCCGTTAACCCCGAAGTTTGCACCTGCCTGTTGAGCAGTTGTGATGGGAATTCTTCATTGAGCCAGTTCTTTCAGTATATTCTCCGACCAATCAGAGAGTGGTTTCCGAATCGGGAATGGCGGGGCCTGGCTGTCGATCGCAACTGTCACAAGTGGGTCCACATTCACACTTGCTTGCCCTCGGCCTCACTCGGCCTCACTCGGACTCGAGAGCGAGCGGAAGCTCGTTATCACCGGCTTGGCTGCTAAGACACTTTCCTTTTGCCCTCGTTCACTAATTACTTACTCTTGCATCTGACGTGCCACGGCGCGCTGTAAGCTCAAAGGTTTTCCGGGTAGTGCCTACTGTGGGATGGTAGTACAGAAATACGTCATAGTGACATGTAAGCAGCTTGGGCTGCTTCTTTCAATGTATAGTCGTTCAAGTGAATTTCGGGTGTTATTGATATAAACAAGGTGAATGCGTAGAAATTCATCAAGGAATACTCGATTGAGACCTGCATGTGCGTGTCCGCGTCGAGGTCATTTCTCGGAATTGGAATTCGGATATGATATATAAAATGGTTAAAATGCTTTAAACAAGTAGTCCCTCGGACTCCGACGCCTGAACAGATCCCCAGAACTGAGAGCAGACTGCATCTATTCAACACCAGCGTACAAATCAACAACAATGTTGATCGCAGCCACAAGAATTTCTGCGGCAATAAGGACGATGACTATACCAGATTAGTAATGATACGCCAAAATCCGTGGTTTCGTACGTACCTATCCACTCGAGATACTCACCATGACGGTGAGTTAATTGATCTTTCAGCACTGCAAGAAGATCCGCTATCACATCTAGTCGTTCCGTCAAAAGAGTCACGCGTTGGTCCATCTCCAAGTAGCTTCGGACAGCTTGGTATACAGGCTCCAATTGTGGTTCTGCCCACATCAACTCTGGACTGTCCAACACTGAGCCCTGCAGGTGGATATTTATACGGAGGATAAATAGCTCTCCGACTTGCATGTTGATTTGTTGTCTTGAGAGGTTGACACTTCCCGTCTGCGCGATCTGAGCCGGTAATGGTGCGGTATTCGATATGGTTTCAGAAACGAGGTCTTCAAAAAGGGACGTCTTCACAGACTGAGCTAAAGCATGTGAAATGGCGAGTTTAATCATATAATTCCGGGGGTCACGCAAAGAAATAAAATCGTTGTATATCCGGGCTTGGTATTCACGAGCATAGTAGAAGTTGAAATTCTCGACCTGGAGGTCATCCGGACTGAGAATTGAGGTTGCGAACTTTGATATATCTGATAAAAACCGAGACTCTTGGGCTGGTGACATGCCCCATATGACGACGGTACCATAATCAAAAAGGAATACTTCTGGGGCGTCAATTGTGGTGTCAATATCCGGGGCGTTATCAAGAATAGATTCTTCGGTCGAACTTTGTTGGTGGGCATTGTGATCATGTAAGTCAATAAGCTCCTCTCTTTGGTCATTTACTTCTACCGCACTGTCCGAGAATCTGCGCTCCCTCGGTGCCCGTTCGACAGTGTGGGTATTGTCCGCATCAACATTATTGGAGTCCGCTCCATATTTCTGTTTCTCCTCGTGGTTGTAGTCAAATCGCGAGTAGACGCATTCGTCAAATAGTTTTGGATTGGCACCGCGGGTTTTGGACCGTGACTTCAAGAATTTGAACACACCATCTAAACGATAGGAATTGGCCGTGCAGTACGCCGATACTCGAGGCAATCGGTCTCGATCAGCTTTTCCTAGCCTTGCCGCAAGGCTGCGAGCAGCGGGTTCCTTGATTCGCGCGATTTGCCTGTAAACATCTGAAGGAGATGTCTCCTCATCAAGCTCCTCCTCTGTTATAGGATCGGGTAAAAGTTTCAGTTTCTGTGCAGTCTTTGTTGTTCTTTGTGGGCCAACTTTCGAAGTAGGGTAAGACGAGGCGACCGTGCCAGGAGCTCCATGGCTGTTGCGACGGCGAAGCTTGCTGTTCAGGGCGGAGAGCCCGGTCGACCTTTGTTGGGAAGAGGTATTTGAGCCCGGGAGAGATCCTGATGCTATGGGCTTGAAAGTCGGGTCGGCCGAGGCGGAATCGTGGTATGTGCTGACTGTAGCGAGAGGGTTGAATGTCACCGTCCGTGAAGGCCGGCTTCCTCGTGGTGACGTATTGGAAGGTGCAGCATGGTTGTGTTGAGGGAGGAGGGGAGAGGATTCGGTAGCTGAGGCCATTTTAGATTAAGCGCATAAAAATTGATATTGAATCATGCCAAACGAAGGAATTAGGCATCGGCTTGAGGTGGGTTGGGAGGCAGAGTTTGGTGGTTGCTGAAAGCTGGGCGGATAGTGTTCCAACGAAAGAGCTCGAGAGCTTTTCACGTGCGGTGAGCCTAAAGCAGATCTACAGCACATTCTATACTGCCTGCCAACTATATAGATAGCAGTTGTGAATGAAAGCTTATATAATTTTTGTTTTGTTTTTTTTTTAAGGGCAAAGAAATAAACATAGCATTATAAACCAATAAACGAGATATATATAAAAGAAAACAATGGAGAAAAAGAAAGCATGCATTGCTAGTGCTTCCACTTGTCTTACATTAGGTACATGATTGCCGTTGTGATCATCGCATCTATCCAAACGCCAAACTATTGCAAATCCATACAACGAACTTCCAGTGCGCTATGTACTGATGATGATGAAATACCCAAGCACCACCCAACAGGCTCTAGTGGTGTGGAAAACATCACTTGCGCACAAAGCCCTTTGAGCCGCTGCTGGCCATCCTCATGCCATTGACATGTCCAGTACTACGTGCCTGTTTCAACCATGCTTCCTTCGCATTGCGTCCAGTCTTCGAGGCTTTTGGAGGAAGAGCTGTGCTTCGTTGTTTTTGTGAGCCACCACCGTCGAGCACTCGGATCGCCACATCGCCCATTCTCACATCCTTTGGAGTTTTCTCCTTCTTCTCGAGAAACCTGAGTTTTGTGGGTTGTTTCTGCGGGGGCGCTTGTGTTTCTGGTGGAGGTGTCGGTGGCCGGACCTCAGGAACTGCATTTAGGATGTCATCTGGAAGAAGGGCGGGAAGCGTTGGGCGTCGGGAATCTTGTGTATAGGATCCTTGCAGCGTTTCTGAACTCTCCGACACGATATCTTCGGCTGAGGTACCAGATCCTGGCGCGGCTTGAAGAGCAGGGGTTTCTTTTCGTTTAATTGAAGCTTTGGCTTGTTGTTTGCGCGCCTCGTCCAATTGTCGCCTCTTTTCTCGTTTGAATTGCTCTTCTCTGTTATCTCGTTAGCAAGAAGTAACGATTGACAGAAATTCAATGGATACGAACATTTGTCTCGCCTTTTCCTGTTTCCTGGCCTCTGATTTAATTTTAGATAGTTGCGTAGAGTTGTCCACAGTCTCCGGGGCTTCGTCGTCGCTGCTCCCCTCGTCCTGATCCTCTTGCTGCGTGTCTATCGGCTCCTCTGTCTCTGTGGGTTCGGGCAGTACGGGTTCTTCGCTATCAAACCGAAAGTGCTTCTTTGGCGCTGCCTCCTTCCCCGCATCTTCCTTATCATGCGTTACTTCTTGCTCCGCAACTTGTATACGGCTCCTCTTTCTCCGTTTGCTGCCTTTTGCTTCCGGCGTCTCTGATGTGCTATTATCAGATTTGCGCTTCCCATTTGACTCTAATGATCCACTCAGTCCAGCATCTTCTGTCGGAATAGCAGCAACATGGGCTGCTGATCGGCGAGTGGTAACCATCTTCGAATTTGTCGCGGGCGCAGTGTGTTCCTGTTCCGGTGTCGCAATGTTAGAGCTGTTATTTGGATTTTGTTCAGAAAACAATATGCCTTTTGCCGCTGTGAAGAACTGCGATAACATAGAGGGGGAGATAAGCGAATGCTGTTGCAATTGAAATCACCAGCGGGCAAAAAGATTTATAAAAATATCCCGGCGGTACGTTTATCCGAGCAAATATATGCGGAGAACCATCCACTTCCTTGCCATCATCAATTGTCAAAATATTAAGTATTTAATATATGGAAATAATCTCTGACGGATTAAAGAATTGTCTAAGATCTCTCAATCGAAAAATAATTAACGTAAAAATTTTTGGGGACCCAGAAAAGTTGATTATTTCGATATTGCAAACATGCATATATATATTGTCCTGGTATCTTAAAATCTCAATGTTAATATGCCCATTCCAAAAGCCCGAAAGCTGACCCTATACGCCAATTACGCCTTGCGTGCTATGTCTGAGTTCATCCGATACGCATTAGATAAAAGAATTAAACAGCGCTGACCATTTCGTTCCGTTCCATCAGTTCCTCATGCGCAGCTGTAAAGTCATCTTCGCCAATCTCGCTGGTTTCATCCCAGAACTTTCGGTGTTCATCAGTGTCATCTCCTCGAACAGTCCACATACTCTCTCGTAGCCGTTTGTTGCGCTCGCGATCTTCCTCGATCCGTTGCTCGATCTGCCTTTTGTCCACACGAATGCCGTTGGCTTTAGAGCCGCGCGGTGTCCCAGCCTTCGACTTTGAACCAGCTTCCTCTTCCTCTTCAGCCTCCAAGTCAAGGTGCGCCGGGTGCGTTTCTCGCTCTTTCAGAGCTGCGTCAAACTCGGCTACCGTTTCGGCAGAGAGTACCTCTTTGTTCTGAAGACCATTCAGGACTCGTCGAACGTGCTTTACATTCGCAGCGCCCGACCCGTCTGCTGGTGCAACAGAGTCCACGACTCGGAATATATCTCGTTGGATCATGCGGACGTACTGGATATGGTTTTCCTTAGTAGCCATTTCGCAGAATTGTTCGATGAAGTATAGAATGTTGGCCCTGTTGTTCATATTATTCTATGAAAAAGTTCAAGTTAATTTCAGCTTGAACATGTATATGTTTCTAAGACGGAGGAGAACCCACTCTTTCAAGTTGCTCTAGAATACATGAGTGTAGATCTTCGTCCATATCGCGGTACTTGAGCGCATAATGTGCGGCTTTTTGTGATGAGGTGACGGATGCATTCAAGTGCTGCAGTTGCGCTGTGAAGCGCATGCGCACTTCAAACGGGTCTGCCATCATTATGCTAGACTATAGTAGTATGCCTCTGAGATTAAAAATGTAATGAGGACGAGAGATGGGCTGGTCTCTGAAACGAATACGTTGGGCGGTCAATAAATGCCGGCAGAATATGTGGGGACTGTAGCCCAGAGGCGGCATGTACCTATCTATGTACATGAGAAGGGAAGGATGGGTAGACCTCAGCTATCGACCGGGGTAGCTAACACGAGGCAAAGAAAGCATTGCAAATCATTAAGGCTATATGATTTGGAGTAATAATCGGGTTTAACGGAAGGTCTGTCTATCCAACCAAGGAAGTAGATTCGTGTCTATGTAGTCGAGATCCAAAATCGCCCGCAATGGTTCCCGTCCCAACTATAGAAAAAAAAAAAACATCATTAAAAGGCTGCTTGATAATTCAAAGAGATGGTCGTCGATCTAATGGAGTCAGTGGAGGGACATTGCTGGGTTCTTGGTCGTTTGCAAGTAGCCCAACATCTTCATCCGTGTCGTCTTCACCACGGGGACCATCACTCGTCCACTCGCTCCGATGGGATGTAGGATTGTTAATAACAGACCAAACATCCTTCTTCGTTAGTAGTCCCTGCAGAATTCCTTTATTCACAAATAAAACGTAGCGGAGCCCGAGCCTTTGGAACATCCGCAGCACGATGAGAAAGGTTGTCCCACTATTGAGTGTTATAGGGGTTTGATCCATCCAAGGTCGAAGGTCGAGGGTATCCATTGGATCCGCGAATGGCTGATGCGCGAAGAACGTCTGGGTCGTACTGGGCAGTGCACCTCCAGATGGAGATACTGGGTTCTTTAACGCGAAAGAGAGCTCATTGCGTGAGATGTACCCAAGAAGAACGGGGCTGGATATCTCTGTAACCACTGGAAATCCTCGATATGAGGTCGTCTGGAGAAGGTTGCGCAGCGATCCGATTGTATGGCCGACAGCTGCAAGGACTGTTATATCGTCTGCATTCGTCATGACTCTATGAGCGGGCACATCGGGAGGTGTGGAATCTTCGCGATGGTCGAGGAAAGGATACTCATTGAGATGTATCCATGACTCATAGATGCCTCGCTTCCCGAATATATCTCCACACCACTTGGACAGCATGACTGCAATCATGATCGGGATGACATAGGTGAGTGCGCCCGTAAGCTCAAACATGATGGCGACGATGGATACGGTCATCCTTGTGGCACCGCCAAGGGCTGAAGCTGCACCGACAATTGCATAGAGGCCCGGAGTCACACAAGGGACATCGGGCTCACAGTTACCAAATAGGAAGAAGCCAGGGTAAGTGTCTTGCCATATCTTGAAAGTCGTGCCAAGAGCACGCCCATATAGAGCCCCTATGGCGAAAGATGGGAGGATGATGCCAGCGGGAATGTCCAGACCAAATGTCATGGTTGTGAGAAAAAAGCCAAGAACCGCAGCGACCAGCAGAAACGCTACCGTACTGGCTGATGCTGCTCCGGTTTTGCATAGACCAAAAGGATCAGGAGTCTCCGCGCTGCACTCGGCGAACAGGGAATGAACAAGCTCTGAATTTTGCGCTCGCATGAAAATGTTGGGGAAGTTTATCAAGGCGCTGAGAAGGGCTACGATCACAACTTCGATGATCGGGCGGGAGAAACCCCGAGTTCGTCGCCAATTCGCGATCTTCATATTCAACCGGATGAGAAATGCCCCATAAAGACCGCCCACAATACCAAGGATAATGAACGGAATCATTTCGAAGCGATGCCATCCTCTGGTATACTTGACCTCGTAAAGAACGATATTTCCTGTGCGGAAAGGGTTTAAAGCCTGTAAGGTGACGGCTGCCACCATGGCACACACAAAGCTTTGCCACATCGCTTTATCAGGAAAATAGTATGACAGTTGCTAAAGTCCCATATTAGCTAAATGTCAACACAATTCCAAGGCCGCTAATACCTCTAAGCTGAATAGTACACCGCCAATAGGTGCTCCGAATGCAACGGAAATACCTGCCGCAGCTGCCGCAGAGAGAACCTCTCGTTTTCTCGCTACATATGTTAGCTGTCATTCGTGAAGATTAGCAGGACTATAGAATATATACCTTCATTACTGTTAAGGCTATCGAAGCCTTTCATTATGACACTGGCGCAGCAACATGCTACGTGAACAAGTGGCCCTTCTTTACCCAGCCACATACCAGATGCGACAGATAAACACTTCAAGGCGGTTAGCTGCAGTGCCCTTTGTACAAGGAAGACAACATACCAGACCCAGTGACTTGATTGCAAGGGTCCAAGGTCCCATGAAGTGCCTTATTATAAAGCCACCTAAGACAGTCTTTATTTCGGGAATTCCACTGTGCCTTGCGTATATGGCATAGTTCCTGACTAGCACACAAGCGCAAACAGCAAAAAATACCTAGCTATTGTATTAGATATGGGCTGTAAGCGAAGAATGGAGGAAGCACCAACAGAGTAAAGTATATAAAAAATATACTCGACGGCAAAAGCTCCACCGGCAGAAGTAGCCCCGACAGCCTTCCCCCAAGGGGCCCAATCCACGCATTTTGAAGGGTCTTATATAAGGAAGTGAGTTAGAAAGTTGATCGGGGAGTCACTACTAGGAAGCTTACCTTGTTCGTGACCCCAGCAGCAAAAGCTGCGGTTTAGATAAAATTTGCCTCCTCCTGGGCCATTCTTGCAATATCCTGCTTTAATATCCCCCAGCCAATCGCTGACAACATCAATAAACGCAGCAATAATTCCAACTGATATTCCTGTAGCGACCAGGACCAACCAAACATTACTCGCATCGTAAAGCTTGTGGGCGTATCCTAGCACTCCCTGCCCACTAGCTGAAAGTAGCCGCACCCTTTGACGTTCTTTGGTATACTCAAAAATCCAATCGATAGCCGTAAAATCATCATAACCAACCCGTCTTCCAGGACCTTCAACATACCAATCTAACAGCCCACCCTCTTTTTGGGTATTATAGAGTCCATTCCCCTGAAAGCTATCGTCAGCTGGTTGCAAATCGTTTTCTGTTGATCGTCCATCTCTAGATGTTGTACGGTCAAAATTAATGTTTCTGTTGGAGTCCCCCGAAAAGATGTTGGATAGACTTGAGATGCTAAGCCCGGATCGCTGCTTTTGTTTGCGCTTGAAGGAGATACTATACAAACCGAAGATTAGATTGATGTCAGATAATACAAGGAATTTATCCCTTACGGTTCCCGAAGATCGTCAGTCAAAGGATCGTTCGAATTTTGTGTATACCGCGAAAGGCTGCTTGCGCGAAGCCGCGGGAGTTGGAGATTGTTGTTCCTTAACCCGGTGGAGGGCTGTTGTTCCTCATAGTCCGGTTCAGAATCCATTATAGATATGGCAGATCATATAGACATGCCGTGACATATGGAAAAAAAGATAATCATGGCCTCCTTGTCGCTTGAGACACCTCACTTCCGTGCATCTCTCCTGGGTACGTACTTCGATAATGAACGATCGGAGCTGCGGCGGGCCTCCGTGCTTAGGTAAGGGCGGTGAGGATGGTTGTGTGGGGACCTGCCACTAAATATCGGCAGAAAAAAGATAGGAAAAAAGTATTGCGATATGCACTTTCTTTTCTCCTCCACTCACTTAAAGAGTTCCTTGCGTGGTTGGACTCAGGATGGGCGCCAGTCCTGCCTACGAGGGGACTCTAAACGAGTCCCAACTTCTTGAACAGCTACCGGATGAGATTGCAGCCCTCCTCCGCACCGCTTCCGGGACTCAGTACCTAAATGCGCTTGCAGTCGGCGCATTGAGACGAGGGTATACGGAGAAATTTTTCTATTTATACGAACCGATATTCGTTGATCTGGCTGCACGCTGGATTCTCCCAGAATCTGGTGTTGATCAAGTCGAAGTTGTCTCTGCATTCGCACGAATACTGCCGCTCGCACCACACCTACGATCTTTCGCAAGCCAATATGCCGTGTCTCGGGCTGGCCCTCTGTCGGCTCTGGCTGCATCTAATGCCTTGACTAATTTGCAAATAGACGACTCCACGATACACACATTACTATTGGCTATTTTCCGCCTTCTTTCTTTCGACCTCGAAGCATTTTCACCTGCCATCGCGCCGTCGCAATTGCAAGCCCTTTTTCGACATGATCACCAAGTAATCCGATATCTAGCGGTACGATGTTTCTGTCTCTATATGCGTGCAGCCGATGCTTCAACAGAGAGGATTCTGCGGACACACTGTGGAGATGATACGGTAGAGGGAGATTGGGAAGGAATCTCAATCGACTATCGTTGCCTCGGGCTGTGGGAAGAGCGTCGATGGGTTGCTGTAGAAAGCCAACTCACTTCTACAAGGGATACAAGGCTACGCTCCGAGGAAATTAAACATGTGGAGCAATTGCGAGACTATCTTACTAGTCGAACCGCGGAAGTTTGTGGCGTGTTGATTCCACGACAAACCGACATATCACCCAAGCCATCCTTGATTGTGAAAACTCCAACAGCCGTGGATAATCTACGACGAATAGCCAGCTCTTTAACCAGACCCCAGCCAATTCTCTTAGTTGGGTTGCCGAATTCGGGAAAGACATGCTTGATAAACGATGTTGCAAGCACCATGGGCCAGTCAGAATCCATGGTAACACTTCACTTGAACGAGCAGACGGATGCGAAAAGTCTCCTCGGGATGTACTCAACATCACCGACTACCGGGAGCTTTGCCTGGCAACCTGGCGTCTTGACGAAGGCTGCAAGAGAGGGACGATGGATATTGATTGAAGACCTAGATCGCGCCCCTTCTGAAGTCATTGGCCTCATTCTTCCCATAATAGAGAAGGGTGAACTGACAATAGCTAGCAGAAGGGAGCGTATCAAGTGTGCTGAAGGCTTCAAAATCATCGCAACCATGAAATCGTCGTACAACATCGCCGGCGAGGAAATTGCCCCGAGCACAGCCATTCTTGGAAGCAGACTTTGGAACAGGGTGCAAGTGGATCCGCTAACAATAGACGAGGTTCAAGAAGTGATTGCACAAAAGTTCCCTCTCCTTGAATCTCGAGT